AACAATTCCAGGCATTTTCGTGGAGAATCCCCAAGATTAACGTTCCGACGCCGCACTAATAAAGCGGGGTTACAGAAGGTCGTTAGACAGGCGGCAGAAATACCGCACACCTACTTCACCTACTAGACACGAGCCCTTTTATTTTCATTGCTACCTCGAAAAATTACGCCGCCGTCGATGCTATTTTTACGACCCCTCGAAACTAGTTCGCTTTATCTAAAAAGCACGGGGCCATTAAATATGTCCTAACTATATTTAAACATTCCCGAATACTGTATTTTATTTCGAGTAACAATACTAAATAAAGTTATCATTCAAGTTAATTTTAAAAAACAAATAAAAAGTATGATAAAAAGATTCATAAAATTTAAAGAGCAATCGTGTTTATATAATGCTGTTTACTGTGAGACGTTAAAATAAAATGGCATTCGTGATGAAAGCCCCTTTTTTAATCAATATCTGGATGAATAGATCTTAACGATCGCATTGAAATGTAAATTATCGTCCTTAGCTCGCCTAATATTACCAGAAAATGTTAAATCGATCGATTGGACAAAGAGAAATGTGGCATCTCATGGAAGTTCATTAAACTCCGTTTCACAATTATAGGTGAAACTTGTCATGCGAAATGACCAGCACGATTAAGACTGAACGCGATGCACCAAACGCGACATTACATTTATGTGATAACATCTGGTTATTAATAACCATTCATCAAAAGTGTATTTCACAGAACTGATTCCTCAAGATCCAAGCTGATTTACGATTCACATAAGCGCAAATCGAATCCATCCATCGAGTAAATGTACGTGAAATTCCATCAGGAACCGCTTTAGTCAAACTATGTATATGTAAGACCCGCATTTTTAATGGACTTGCAAGTATCAAAAAGCGAAATCAATATGTGATGAATGTATATAATAAATCTAAGGTCTATTTTATTTTAATGAAATGAAAAATTTATTACTTTTGTTATATTTTATAACTTATATATTATTATTTCTTATTAATTTATCTCTCTTTAAATATACACAGGTAACAGTGTTAATTTTATTTATTTTAAATTACTATTTTATTCTAATGCAAATATCCCCTCGAATATATAAGTACATTATCCAAGTATTTCAATGAAATGACCTGACATTCGGCGCCATGAGTATAATTATACGAAAAGACACAGAGGGAAGGAGACGTCTGCGAGACGTATACCTGGGTGGCGTTATCTGTTTCTGAATATGCAAACGCTACTTCGTGCGCTGCTTAACACGTGAAGAACTCCCCTACAGTTGATCGCACTTTGGATACCGTACCTGCACCGGGTGTATCAAAATGCATGTGCAACGTTAAAACGTGTTTCATGGTACAGCGGGATTTATTGGGTGATAAAGTACTGTAATACAGTATCCAAGATGCACGAATATCTTGAAATTAAAATTTTTATTTACAATATTTTTCTTTTTTAATTTTTTTTTAATCCTTTCTTTAAATTTTATCATTTTTTGTATAACAATATATCTTATTGTTTTATTTTTATCATATCTAGACTTTAATAATTTGATTATGACAACAATATTTTTTTTATTGTATTTAATTAGCGAATTCAAAAAAATTTAAATTATTATTAAATATAATAAATTTCCTCACACATGTGTAAAATTAAATTACATTTTTTTGTTATTGATTAAAATCATAAATTATTTATATTAAAATTTTTATCTATATGTTGGATAGAGAACAGCTAATTTTATTTTTCTCGCAGGTCGAGAATATAACGAAGAAAATGTTCTACATAGGAATATAGAACATTTATTCTTTTATCCTTGAGTCGCAGAATTAATTGTTCTCATTTCAATATAGAAATAAGATATTATTATTCAAATTAAGGACCAATGTTGAATATATCTTATGGACGATGTAGTAGGAAGAGAAGAGAACATTCAAACATATGGTAACCTAAACATGTTGCTTACACGAGAATTTACATGTGAAGACATATTAAACATGAGCACATGTAAAGAAATCGACTATTGTTTAAAAAAAAACTTTTCGAACATGAGTATATATTTTGTTTATTATTTGCTTTTTGATATTTAATATTAAATATTTTGAAAATAAAAGTGTAATATGTGTTATATCTAAAAAATGAGAGAAAAAACTAAATACATAGAATCTTAAAAAATCTCAGATTTAAAAAAATATCTATTTGAATTTAAAAGTATGAAGTTTTTTGCTATTTAATTACTTTATTTTTAATGAATTTTTGTTTGATTGTTATTAGTACCTCAACATTCTAATTGCAAAAAACTCTTTGTCAAAATATTAAAAAATTTGTTAAAATTTGTTAAAATTAAGCTATCGTTTTAATGTACCATGTACTGTCGGTATGAATCGGAAAGCCGCTTTTCGAAGGCAGTATATGTCGAGGAACTTGCGTGGGAGGAAGGTTGGGTTGTAAAAGTGCTCGTAATCGTTTCGTCTGTATCAGGCCGTACACGCGATCCGCGGATTAAAATTAACAGCCCCGCGGCATATATATATGTATTGATTGCACGCTCACCTTGACACCGAACGGGTAGTTTGTTCCTCCGCCGACGTTGGCCGCACGCGAAGGTTTTGAGGGAGTAAACCTCGGTAACACCCTCCTTTTCTCGACATTGAATCTCTTCGTAAATACTGAAATTAAATCCCGTCTTCCATTGAAGAATTGAATCGTTGTCTCAGCATTTAACACGACCTCGCAGCGAGCACTTTGCGAGAATTAAACCGAAAGTCGAAACCGACCATGACTTATAGTTTCGAATTGCGATAGTTTTTTAGTCGTTCTTTAATTAAATTCTTAACTTGTGAGCAAAAAACTAAGTGTGTTTAACATTATATTATATCAAGAAATATAAAAAAGACAATTTATATACATAGATTTAATTAAAAAATTAATTAAAATTAATGATAGAAACTGTTGCAAAAGATTTTAAATAAAAAATATATAATGAGAAAAAATATTTATTTTATATTATGCAATACATTTTGCATCTTTTACATTCTTGTTTTATAGAATCTGTTAATATAAAATGTAAAAAATATAGGAGCTATCTTATTTCTAAATTCCTTGAGTTTAGTCGACAGTTGTACTTTGAGGAAGTAATATCATTATTTCGGAAAGACGACAGCATATCTCAGACCGCTCCTAGCACGATCAAATCGATACAGACTCTATCATCGAATATATGGACTATCAAAGAATATCTATCTTAAAAATTGGAAACGTTCATTGAATAAGAAAGAGTTCAACAAAAAATGAAATTAGAACAATTTCTGTAATTTCTCTCACGGACACTCTTTTCTATGATTATTTTTATTATTATTATTTTGATATTATTATCTGTTTTTAGCACTTATTTTGTTCAGATAAACATTTCTTGTAAAATAAAAATATATTTTTTTTATATTTATTTCTGTTTCATGCTCTTAAATCTATTTTCTAAATACTATAGATTCGGTTTCAATTTTTCACCAGAACAAACTGCATCAATTTTTACACTCATATTTCTCTGAAATTTATAAGCTTTAAGATTGGACTTTCGGATTGCTTTCAAAACAAATGGATCGTATTTTCCTGTATCTCGAGTCCGAAATTGTGCGTAAAAAGAATTTGTCTTGTCTCGCGACTCTTATCGCTGTATATAATTTATATCATATGACAGAAAAAGAGTATGAGAGGAAGAGTCCCATGATATAATTTATTCGTCGGACGTGGCGATCTCGAGAGCTTGTTCCAAGGAAGCTCAAACGTTGAAGCCATCAGACGATCGGCTTCGACGTATACATCGTATGCTTCCAGACGGCCTTTAGATCGTCTCGCGGCATATTTTATTCAGTGAAACACATTTTTGCGGCTGAACACGTTCTAGCCTTTCGAAAACGCAGTACTTGCATGCGCATACCGGAGTCCTTAATACTAGGAAAGCTTGTAAAAAGAATCCTTGCAGCATCATGAATGAACGAAGTTATGCGATCGGTCGTCTTTCTTCCAGGAAATTGGTTTCATAATATTTTAGTTGAGGAGAAGAGGGAAATGTGAAAAACTTGTTGTTTGAATATTTACCTTTCGGCAAAAATGCAATTTTTCTTGCACTTATGAAATATGTATCAGGGAAATAGAGACTTTTCTACGATATAATTTATATTTCTCCATATAAAACAACAAAATTGAAATCAGGTTTTGATAGACGGTAACTTTTTATTTAAATATTAAGCAAAATTTCACAACACTATTGAATTTCCATTTGGCTACAGATTTTATTCTCATGTTTGTTTGCACTTATTTTATACAACATTAAGCGAAATTTGATTGCGCGCGAGAAGAAATTCGTAATTCGCAAATAACGAAGTTATAAAAGAAAATGTCTTTTCCATAATATTTTATATAACAATTCGTGCTTCTGATAACAGAGAAAAATACTAATACTAGACGTTATTGGAGAATCTGCCAGATTTAATAAAATTAGCTGTCACACGTGCAATATTGATATTTTTACAAATATTTTATCATTTTTATTTTTAATTTTTCAACAGCTGTCGCGCTATCTTGATATTTTTACATTATATCTGTTAACTTTTAACGCGGGAACGACGTAAACAGCCGCGAATTGTACGTGACATGCCCTTCTACCAATTTCTATCTTCTACTAACTACGACACGTGCTATCGAAATCGTCAGCAAAATCAGCAAAACTAGAGTTATTAGATCGCTATATATGTGCCATTACTACCACTCGCAGTTTCCCGAAATTCAGTCTCCCACGTTTCCAGCGAGCCATTGAGTTCGTTTCGCGGAGAATTTATGAGCATAGAGCCATTGTTCTTGAGGGCGACAACTCTCGAGAAACGATATCCGATTGTCAGCCTAAGGCACAATCCGAAAATCCTGTCCGGAAAAATTGTAGAAGAAAAGATAGGCGATAAGAGAAACGGATAAACGTATTCTTCCTTTTGCATTTCAGGACTCTATTTCCCGCAATCGGATCTCACTCTAAGGTTTCCATATTTGGTTCAACACAACACGAAATTTTTACCGGTCAAATTAATCAGCCTTAGGACCCTTCGGAACGATTCTAATAAACCGCAAAATGTGAAGTATCAGATCATTAATAAGATGTTACAAGAGAAGTTTGCAGTCTACCAGAAAAATGAGAACATAATTGAGCTGCAGAATCTTCCGCAAAATGGTAAGTATATTTCGACTTTTCTCTTTTCATTATTTAAAGAAGCTTTATTTAAATATTGCAGGATATATTTGAACTTTATTAAAATATAGTATTTTTTTAATTAATAAGGAACCTTTGGTACTATCATCGTCAGAGCGAGCGAGAAAAGTTCCAGCGAAGCGCTACTCGAGATAAAAATGCAACCAGTACCAATAATGGGAAAAACTATCAATTGCACAAACTACATGCAGGTAAATTGCCATAAATCTTTACTTTTTTTTTGGAATATTCACTAATGCGACCCATCTCAATTCGTTAACCATTATAATCATTATTTGAAATTTATATTGTGTACATAAATAATTGAAACCGATCTACATAATGAATGTGTAATGTTTTCATTATGTAGATCGGTTGCACAATCTATTTTGCGATAATCGATGAATCTAAAAATATTTTAAATAATTGTGAAAATTTGCGCAATTTATTCATGTTACGTGAAATCTTAATAATTGATCATTGATGTATTAACGCATCGAAGTATATTTCGTCGAAGCATCTTGATCCACAAGGTTTCGAATGTTACAGGATATGTGCTTCTGGAATACATCGCACTACAAGATTTATGAGAATCAACCAGTCACAATGATTGGCACGTTTGGCCCGGAGGCGTACAGTCATATATGTCCCGAGTTTAGCGTCACCAGATATGAATTATCAAATAGTAAGTTTCTTCCGTGATATCATATTCTATATCAATCCTTTCAAATTTAGTTTCAGAACCACATAGTTATTTTATTTGCTACCACGACAATCCAAATTTTTTTTTAAGAAGCAATTTATTTATAAATTCTAAGCAAATTTCCAAAGTTAGCGTAATTTAAAATCAACTCGTGAAAAATTGAGCTACTCAATTTTTTATGCTTAAGATCTTCATTTTTGTTAGTTAAAATAATATCAATGAATTGCTTTAATGTCATTTGTTAAATCGGATTCCTATTTGCAAGAGATAAATCTCTTGTCAAGGATCGAACATTTTTCACTGACAAAACAGGGAAAAGAGCGAAATGGTGATTAATTAGGACCATTCGACGTAAAATACAGATAAATCTGGTCGCAGCCACGCATGTTGCTAAAGCTGTCGTTAGATCCATACAAATTGTCATCATTAAAATTCGCTGAAGACGTCAGTGACATAATACGCGGATCTGTAGTCCTCTTATATATATCTATATGTGGCGAATCATATATCAAAGCCCCAAAGGTCTCTTCAGCGATGATTTAAATTTTATTTTTCCGCCGTTGAATAGAGGCTGCCGAAAAAATGTAGCAAGCGCCATATTTCAAATGTGGCGTTTTCGCAAAAAAGAGCTTAATCTATTATGTTTAAATGAAACATAGACTGAGACTTTTATGGAACAATGACTTTAGTCCACATTTCAGTTGAATGTACCTAATAGCAGTAATAGAAGAAAAAAAAAGAAATATTATTATAAAATACTTATAAAAAAATAGAGAACTTACATTAAAATATTAATTAAAAACTTTTTATTAATAATATAATATAATTATGCATAACATATAGAAGTTTTGTATTACTATCATATAAAGTCAATAATATTAATATTAATATTTAGATAATATTATAAAAATAATTCTTCTTATATATTAGAGATATATATTTTTTATAGTAAAATATAATTTTAATATTAAAATAATATATGTATATAAAAGCTGTAGATTATGAATAGTGTTATACTATGACACTGTTTTCCGTTACATCAAATATGATAATATGATTAATTTTGCGCCTTTATTCCCTCTTTTTCCCAAAATTTCTTCGATTATGTTAATTTATGCTAATTATATACATATATTATGCTAATTATGTACATTTGGCTATTGTAATCTTTTGAAGAATGTAACTGCTACATAACATTTAATACTGAAATGTAGAAATAATGAGGTGAGATTTATTTTCATCTTTTAGGGAGCGATTATTTTCACATAGTTGAAAATAAATTATTTGCGAATGCATCGCTGGATCGAGATATTATCGGTCCTCCAGGAGGACCTGGACCTCGCGTTCAGCTCCAAGTAAGTTGCGTCGTTTGGGAGGAAAAGACCGGCGACCAGCACATACAGACAAACGTTATTACCATCGATATCTTGGATCAAGACGATAATCCTCCTGTAGTGCAAAGCAACACTTCTATCGCTATAACGCTTTCGGATTTTATCGCGGTAAGTTTACATATCAAAGAGCAACATCGAATTAATGGTATAAATTAATGTTCACTACAATTTCGAGTAACTTGGGACCAATTAACTTCCTGATACTAAAGAACTTGCAGATTTATCGTTATCTAAGTATAAGGGCACCATTAATCTGTAATGAAATCTAACCAGATCTGTATCTATAAGTTATAGCTCCATTTTGTGAAATTTTTTTATTTTCTCTTAAAAATAATTAAATTATGATTGAAATAAACTCTAAATAATTTTCATAAAAAATAAATAAAAATTAAGAAGTTAGGAAGATATCTTGTCTAAATATAACGGTTTTATTAAAATATTACAAGTAAAATAAATATCAGCAAAAAATCATTGAATAAAAAAATCTCTACTTACAAAAATATTTCGTTTTTCTCTTTTCGTTTTTACTAATATTTTATTATATTTTATTAATATTTTTCATTAATATTTTAGTGAAAATAAAAATTAATTATTAATAAAAGTAAAGATTATCATCTGTTCCAAGACATTTCATACAGATAATTCCAAGTATCCTTATTTTGTTGCTTAGCATATTCAACGTTTTGCAGTATTTTGTTTTGTTGACAAATTTCAGTGTTTCTTCATAAATGAATCTTCATGAATCTCATTTTTTTAACCGCGGCGTCGCCGTGTCGGAAACGAGACTTAATCAAGCGCTCATTGTTCGCGTAATTACCGCGTTGTTTTGCGAGCAACGCGCATAATAAAAAGGAAACGCTAAGTGCGGTGGACGCCACAAAAGATGTGAGAATGATGAGATATAGAAGAGAGTTCCTCTGGAACTGATCCTGATTAAACCCCCGGGGTGTCCCATTCTCCAATGCTCGTCAAACTGCCTTTCTCTGCTTTCCCACTTTTTTTGTTCTTTATCAAACATTTCTTTTTAGTCCTTTTTTAACTGTTACTTTTCGTTCAGTTCCTCACTTCTATAAAGAAAAGGTTGTTTGGATGCTGAAACACCTGAAGAGTTTCTACAAACGTAATTGAAGACTTTAATGGGCGAAGTTCAATCAGTTAATCGAAATCCGACGTTGCTTCGCTAAGTATAGTGAAAATAATTAAAATTGTTAATGAAAGAATCTCTTGGTGCTGTTAAAAACTACAAAAAATAATTATATGAAAAATACTTTTTTCACACAAAATCTTGTAAGAATAAAATTATAATAAAACTGGAGTTGTAAATTATTCTGATAGCACAGTGAATTAATAATTAAAATAAAAAATAATTAAATTAAAAATAAAAAGTTAAAAAAGAAAATCACTGGAAAAAATATAAAAAAAGAATAAGGTAATAATAACGTGGATATTTAAAATATGTAAAATCAATATATCAACATCAATTATAATGTTTTTGCGTTTTAACGAAGTTTAAACATTTTTCTGTGACAGGGCAACAAATTGATAGACTATGATCACTTGAAGTTGACGGACGCGGACACGATAACTAGCAATAAGTTCAGCTTTCGCCTGATTGGTGATAGTTCCGATGCGGTAATCATCAATAACACCATTGTGCCGATTGACCATTCTGACTCAAGGTACCCGAATCGGGCGCCTTATACCGCCATTTTTCTTGGTGAGTACCAAGCATTCGTCCAACATTGCCTCCATTCGCATTTCAATTCATTTTTGATGGATGTTCATACGTATATCTTTCACACACGTAATTGCAAATTTATCTCGCATTTTTCAGCAATCCATGCCAAGAAGACATTGCTACCGGAATTGCCGTATCACGTAGTCCTTCAGGTTACGGATGAATCGCTTCTCAAAGGATATGGGGCGAATTCGGTGAGTCAGTATCGATTCTACGTCGTCGACACTCATTGGCAAACTGCTTGACTATATTCGCTCCATTTGCAAAAGTGTCAAAGGACAATGGCCAAGTATCTTAAATGTCTGAGCAAAATAGCATACGGTAAAGTACAGGCAAAGTTTCTTAACTGTCCTTTCCACTTTAGAGTTCAGAGAATTTTAAAATACTTCTATTTGCTATTTCGTAATTGCGAACAGTTTGGATTGACTTTCTATTTCGCTTCTTTGTGCTAAATTAATTAAAAGATTAAGGAATTGGATTTTTATTGGATAATAAATGAAAATAAATCAAAAACTCCAATAAAGTTTAGCTCAAGGAAAAAAAATATTTATTATCTGGTAAAATAAAATAATAGGGAATAAAAAAATATCTGGTAAAATAAAATAATAAGGAATAAAAATATTTATTGTCTGGTAAAATATTATAATTTGTTGGAAAAAAATTAATTAATGTACATCAGAGAAAAATTAAATCAGTGCTTCGTAATGCACTGGCGATTCATCGAAATGAACAAACAGCGTACGAGTATGCTGTGCTGGGAATCTGTTGTCCGATGAAAAAAATTCACCCCGGTCGCGATAAATTTCGCAATATCGGCAGAGTCCGCCAATATCTCACCGCCGTATGTCATTTACGAACTGCACGGATAAAACTCGGGGCAAAAGTGCGCCATACTGATCCCATAACTCGCGAAGAGTACTTGGTCAAATGTATGAAAAGAATAAGACACCAATTATATTAAAGGGTTAAATTTTTCTGAAATAAAATTTTCATTTTTATCAAAAATAATCTCCACTCATATTCCATAAATATTTTTAATAATCATGATTACTAGATTAATTATCGTTGCAAAATAAAATCTATGTATGAAGAGAAATACATATGATAATATTAATTAAATAATTATTAATTCTTCTCAAAGATCTTTTATTCAGTTAAAAATCGTTATCAATATAATTCCTCGCTTCTCATTAATTAATTAAATACAGCCCGCTGTCATAGCTACGTTTCCATATTTCGATTAAATGCAAGCGTTCTCTTAAATGCAAATTTCCTCTCATTTACGTCCGGCTCACCTCCTATCGACACGAAACGAAATCGACCCGGACTTGTATCGAGGAAGTAGAAAGATAAGCGACTCATTAGTCGCCATTAGTCGTGTGCCTTGCATCCGTAATCGCGCGCTTCGCGGTATAATCCGGAGGTCATTAAACAATTAGGTGGTGAAATCTCGCCTTCCTTGTTAAAGGTTCCTTGGGCGCGGCATTGATTTCGTGGAGGCGGTTAATCGCAGATTAAATACCGCATCCACCATCTGAAAGTGGCGCGTGGGTGAAGTCACTTATATTATCGAGCTTTGTTTCGAATAATGCAATCGTCATTAAAACGGGCTTTCAATGTTTTTCCTAATTATCGAAACAACGATCTTTCTCCGAATACTGGATATTTTCCATCCGGGAAAAATCATTTAATTATTCGCATGAAATAATTTGATTGACCGTTCAATATGTGATAAGAGAAACTACGAAAATTGCCATACAAAACGTATAACACGCACGAATAAACGCACATATATCGCAGTATGCAATTTCCAAATACTTTGTTCGTGTTTACGTGACAGAAATGTGTCCAGTAAAATTTGCAGTATACAGGGTGTATGAGGATATATATTTCTCTCAAGAGAAAACAGTTTTTTATATCCTTGGTAAAATTTAAACTCGTAAATATGTCAAATTTTTTTCTTATTTTACTAACTGATTTAATTGTAAAATTATTTTTTTAATAATACAAAATATTAATATATAGACCTACTTTTAAAATAAAATTCTATTCTTCAAATTTATATCAAAAGTGAACTTTGATTGCAATCATTTGCCACGAAAATATTTAACGTAAAATATTAAAGAGAATTATATTTAATTTTCGTTAATAATAAACCGATATATTTATCATAAAATCTTCGATTCAGCAATAATTTTCAAGCACTCTGTAGATGCGCATGTTATTACTGTTTGGCGATATTAAATGCCGCGAGTTTTGTGCAATGGTGTCATGTGTGGAGCGTACATCACCCTGATATAATTGGAAAGAGGATAATGATTGTAGAGCGCAATTCGTGAACGCGATAATAATCGAGTGGAATTTGTTCTAATTCAAGCCGCGCATGTCGTGCACCTTTTAATGGATACCCTACATCATCCGCGTAGCGCAAGACTAGGTGTTTAAATTGAAACCACACGAGAAAATAAATCTCGACGTCGATATATATCTAGCGACCTCGGGCGACCTGCTCCTGATATATATCCTGTAAATCAGGCCGCGTGTCTTAGGTATCGCTGATCTTCATCTTGTCTTTCCTCGCGAAACGCGACACCCCCTCGCAGTTAAATACTGATCTTCAGCCATGAAAATATACTCTTGCCTTCGTTAAATTGTCATGTTGAGATCTATCGAATATTCTGTGGCCTTGAATTATATCCTTCCTTTAATTGAGAAGAATATACTGGTTTTAAAGATTCTAAAATAATTTAATATCAAAAATGAATATATAATAAAAAGAGAATTATAAAACAAAACAACAAAATTATTAACTGAGACATGGATGCATTTACAGTTCCTACACGCTGTTCAAGAAAAGATTGGTTTAAGTGCCTTTTCCCGCTATAGTCATTCCATGGGTGTACCAAGAATGGACGATAAATTCTAATAAAAACCGTCACGTAGCAATCGCATCTGGTCGTGGTCTTTAATATCGATCTAGTGTGATAAAATATTGCTTGAGTCTACTTTGAGATCCTTTCTAGTCGTGGCAAATCTTCTAAGTTTCTTTCCATGTAACAATGTACTTCTCCTTTAGATAGCACAACTTCCTTTAGCAATATTTACAAAATAATTATTCTTTAAATATAATTTAATCAGAATATAATATTGTGAAAAAACAAAAAATAATATATGTAAAATGGATATCTGTCATATATATATATATATGTCTAATTATAAAGTTACATCTATTACATATAACAAAATTATATAAATATAAATAGAATAGCAATTATAACCTGATTTTTGAGAAAGCATATTTTTCCCTCATTCCTCTTGAGCTTCTTGCTTTATTAATCATTATACGTGTGTATATATAAATTTCTGAAAAAGATTTCAGTTACACGATTTTATTAATTTTTTTTTCACATTTATTTTATTTTATTTGTTTAGGTGAACATCAGCATAACTTTCTCGGGATCAGTACACCGAGTTTCCACTATTGCAACACCATCATCCGTCATGGCACAAGAATCATTCTCGTATCCGCCGAATGTGGAAATAGCCCGGATTTCGCCGAGGTATATGCGCGTGGCGAAACCAACAGCAAAACCCCATCCCTCGATAACTTTCATCCTGAACGGTTCCAGTGCATTCGATGTCACTCAACAGGACGGTATCGTTTATGTGTCCAACGAAACTAAGCTAGAATCCGAGCCCGACATCGTTGAGTAAGTTCACCTGTTTTATCCTAAAGCACAATATCATGCGACAGCGAAAATTTCCGATAATCTCTGTATGAGGACAATGAAATGCGCTATTTACATTCAAATATTTTCTGAGATGTTGAAAGGTCATAAAATTAAAATACTTTGCTTTAATCGATTTCATATGTAGAAAAGCTATAACATGATAATTATGCATTCAAATGTATTTAAATAAAGGAGTTATATTTAGATTTATTTCGGTCAATATATGGAATTAAAAATAAATTAGATATTCGAGTATCTGGCACGAATATAGCCCGAACGCGATTACTTTCCGTGTAAAGTACATGAATATTCATATTATATTTATACTTTTGTGGAACATTTAGAATGTCTAAATTATGTATGTTTATATGTATTTCAAATATATATATATATATATATATATATATATATATATATAACATTTTTATTTGATTAATAAATTTTTATTTGATACTTTTCTTATTTAACCCTTTCGCTGCTATAGGCGCCTTTGAAATTTTCGTCATGATATACTGTAGGCGCCTTAAAGCGTCCAATTGTTATCATCAAGATGATGATGTTGGCGCCTTTAGGCATTCAATATTTTTATTATTATTATTCAAATATCTTCATACTAGTAACTGATATGCTTTGCGCGACAGCGAAAAGTTTATAAAAGTTTATAAACTTTGTCGTGTATCGGTCACGGTTAAATATGTGTCGTCTGTCACACACGCTCCGCATTAGACTTCCTCGTAGGGAAAGGGTTAAATTAAAGTCAATAATATTTGAATATTTTACAATTTCTTTACAGAATTTTTTTTAATTTTAATAAGACTGAATGCTCTCAGAATTCTCAGAATTTCTATGTTGATTTTACTATATTAATTGAACGAAATCACGAAAATAAAATAAGCGAGAAAGATTATAAATTCATGAAATGAGAAAATTTCTATCTTGATTAAAATCGATGCCATCTCAATTAATAACTACATTTACTATTACATTTCGCCCAGCAATTTTTCTTATCATTTGATCATGATGCCATCAACTTATTTGTCAGATTGCAATTAAACTGGAGCGAAAAGAATGGCATCGGGAAAATTAATACATTACAAGTGAAGCTAGTCAATGTTCCGTCATCGAAGATTAACACATGCATACAATCGACTCAGAAAGAGATGCATTCGTGTGCAAATGCGAATTCGCGCGAGAAATGCGAAAAATCCTGCGGAATCGCCAGCGGAGTTTTCAGGTATGTCTAAACTATTCGTTTGCAATATTAATACAGAATGTTTTTAAGTATATAATTGCAATCTTTATTAACAATAAATATTAAAAATAAGAACGCTATATCTCGATTCAAAATTTAATAAAAATTTTAATAGAAATTTTTTATCTAAAAAATATATTTTTATGAATAATATAACATATTTATAACATTATTTATAATATAAAATCAAAATAATCGAAGTAACTAAATTACGATTCAAATCACGGAGCAACAATTGGCATAAATATATTTAACCAATAATATTTAACGTTTAATTTAAAAAATTATATAATTATATAATTATATTTTTAATTATTTCACATCCAAAAATGATTATATTTACAAAATTTTCTTCAAAATTCTTTCTTATTTTAAGTAAAGGAAACATTCCATTTAATTTTTACAAACGGTATAGATTCAATATTAGTAAATTTTAATTGCAAAAACGCATTCTATAATGCTTTCTAACGAAAATGTGGCATATCTTACTTTATAATCACACCACTGGGAGTGGCGTAGTGTGCCAATTCATTTCCATATAAAGAATTTTTAGAAAGTTTTTACACAAGTCTCTCTCTAAAAAATATAAAGGGAGTCTTACTTAAAACAAAAGTGAAAAATATATTTAGACTATTTATAAACTAATGAGTAAATGTATATGTTTAAATAATGTATAAAATTTATACATCAACATATGTATAATAATTAACGCATTAAATAGTAAGATCTTACCTGAAGGTCGACAGTAAGAAAATTCCTAAAGAAAACTTTTTTTTTTATATCAAGCACTGTGCGTAATCGTGCGCAAGTTCATTTTGTAAGTGGCGATTATTTTCCATAATAGACTAAAGGGAGAGGCTGTGTCATTACTTCATTCATTCTTTTTCTCGGAGAAGCGTCACATCGTCAAGAGACTCAATTTCATCGTAACGACTATGTCGGACGGTAATACGTCCAGGTTTATAGCTCTTTCCATTTCACTTGACTCGTTTTCGCTGTTTCTTCCGATAACTATCGCTTTTTGATATGATAACGAAAAAGGCAGTAATTGGCAGTTCATTTTTTATCCTTCCTCTTTTTGTTATAAAAAAATAAATAATGGTTATTATTTTTCTTCGTTCTATTTTCCATTTCTTAAACATGCCAGTGTAATTTAGTATATCAATTTTATACGAAGCATCGCTTATCATTGAAATTGTTCTTTACAAAAGATTTATAAAAACTATCTATCGTCATTTAATTTACGATGATAATTTTTCTTTATTTATCGTTTGTCTAGTTCTGTTTATTTTTTCAATAAAATTTTATTATTTTAAATCAAGTATTTATATTTCGCTTTTTTAATAATGGCTTTTAAAAAAGCATTAATTAAATTTAACGTAGTCAGTCAGGTCAATTTAAAGCTAAATTTATAATGAAATAATTTAAAACTTTAAGAACACACACACACACATATATATACATATATATAAATTTGTTAGAATCATTTTCTCATCGTACGAAAAAGATTCAAAGTTTATCCCTAATAATTTTAGAGGAAACAGCTTTCCGTAGATCATTCTATGTCATGCCAATCATAAGAAGATTTTAATAATGAATTTATGCGCAGTAATAATAGTTTCGTCGGTCGATGCGTTTGGAGAGACAATAAGGGAAGCAATCGAGCCAATATCTCCCAAATGTCGAAGAATTATTCCACCTGTTCACCAGATCTCACATACTGTCCGGACAACGAATGTGACGCGTTAGAGAGAAGTAATCCTCGTATATGTCCGCAAGATTGCGTCAAATGTGAGTAGCATGCGTATATTCGATCACGTTATAACGCAGTAAAACCAGGCATGTCACGATACCATTGTTACGTTACATAGTATTGTAAAAAATGCATACAATACAAGATTCATGGCGATAATTGAAATGCTTTTAAACACAAACAAATCTTTTTCTACAATACTTTCAAAAAGAAATTTTGTACTCTTTAAATTTTAAAATTTTCTATATTTGTAATAAATATTATTAAAAGAGTCGAAATATATATATTATATAAGAAGATTTTCGCAAGCATAGAATCATGTTTCCTCAGTTTTAAGGACTCTAGGACAAGAGCTTTCGATTTAAAGGGATTTCACGTTACCGTCGTCACAGTTGCGTTTCATCGAAAGGGATTTAAGGGGCATTGAAGAGAGATTACTGTGCTTGTCTCTGAGAGATACTCGATATATGAGAATAATCGCGTTCGCATTTTGCAGCCGATTCATATTTCGCCCACACGAACGAAAACGGCCTCGGTATAAAGAGCGGTGTTGGGATTTGTTCCTGTAATGACGAACTCCAGTGTCAATGCGTACACCCTACGAACTCTAAACAAAAAGAGAATATGCCAGGCGAGAACAAGAAAGAACGAGTCGACAGAAAACCACAGAACCGGAAAAATGAGCTTATCCCAGGCGCGCGTAAAGGTCAGTCGCATCGCGACGCATAATTTTTTTCACATGAAAATCACGTGTGTTAATTATTGAATAATAAGAAAGAAAAAACGCAGGCGCTTTAATTACATATAATAATTTTAGATATTGAAATTTAAAAGTTTAAATAATTTAAAAAATTTTAGTCCATTTCGGAATCTTTCTATGACTGAAAGAGAAGCTTGAAATATAATGCCTTTACTGTGATTTTACATCAAAGAGCTTGTTTTTTCATTCTATTAAGCATTATTAACCTTTGTCCTTTACGGCTTTGCAGCGTCCAGCGAACCATGCGGTCCCACATGCATGATAGGCGTCATTGGAGCTAGTCTGTTTGTTCTGATCGTAATTGTAGGCTCGTTTATTACATGGAGGTACAGGTAAGAAATCAAAAAAATCAATTTTATATAGGATAACAAAAAATTTTCGTTTCATTTTATGATTTCAAAACTATACGCAACATTAATGAAACAATTATTAAATGAGCATATCAAAGTCATATCTAGTCATATCTAGAAAATTTAAAAAAAAAATATATATAAATCTATTTTTTATATATTCCATTCTTTATTATAAAAATAAATAATACAAATTACTTCTTTATTTAGAAATTTATTATTAAATATTAAAATACATCTAGTAAAAAAATTATTCCTCCCTCTTTCTCTCTCTATTTTGTAATAATTTTAAATTATTATAAAAAGTAATAAAAAATATTAAAATTTGTTTGGAGAAAATTAATAATGTCTCGATACGTCACAATAATGAATTTATAACAATATTTTGTTAGAAATCTTTTGGTCCGTATGGATCTTAGAAGGATTTAGTGAACTATCGCTTCTGAACCAGTGGCTTAAGAGCAGAGCTTATCGGCTCGAGTCTCATGTTTACGAGGAATTAAGGACATTACAAAGCTCACGGCTAACTAGGATTTCGAGCATGATTTATTTAACCTTCGATTTTCCGGAATATAGAAAATAGAATTTTAGACAATAAAAACATAACAAATTGATATGTACTTATTAATTCTATTATAAAAAGAGTTAAAGCATCATCTAAATGTTAGATGCATCATCCAAATATTTGATAACATTTATTGATAGTCTATAAAATTTCAATTGTTACTTGCGAGACAAACTTATTATTTTTTGCATCTTATTGCAAATTCTCTTTCAAAACGTACATTTTCGCAAAATATTTGATATATTTTCTAACTTTATAACTTTTATATAGATCAAATAATTCATTGTAGAAATATAGATCAAAAGAAAAAATTGTTGTAAAAGTTTCAGCAGATATGCATATTGCCCGAACGTATCTTTACATTTTTTTCATAGTTCACAATCAGCTATCTTTTTTTTTATTTTTTATAAAATTTTAAATATATGTATTCTATGTAATTATTTTTGTACGTTATAATGTTACATTTATCATTTAATTTTTGATATAAAGCCAATTTGAACATGAGAAATTTGATGCATATTTGTTAATATCAGAATAAAAGACATTAAAACGCTATCCAAGCACCGAGAGAAAATAACAGAAGGCAATTTAAAATAAAAGATGACTGGTGAAAGTACATTGTACGCCCATATATCCATATATCTAAAAAATTAACACATTCCATTGTGTCAAATAAATTTCTACCGAATTAAGGTGAGGAATTACAAATGCTCTGGTTTTGTATAGGCGATTCAAACCCACTAGTCTGCAAGCTATTCAAACTTTCGAATTTGGGTTAATGTCTATTAGAATTACTCTCCTAAAGTAACTAGTGGCCACAAAAGTCCGACATCTGCTGAACTTCATTAATATGTTCTAAAATAATTCAATCGAAACGCGAAAGGACAAGAAAACAAAATATATTTTGTATATCTTGCGATCAAATATAATTCGTTACAATAATTTTTTTTATTCTCTTATTAAAATAATTTATTAAAAAATATTCTCCGATAAATAGTAACTATTGTTTGTAGCTCTGAATTGATTTTCGCTGTTATAATAGATAATAGTACAATTAGCTTAACTCCAAGTTATCTCATTTCACACTACACCGCCAAACCAAAATGGTAAGCCAACATACTTCGTCTTCCGCATTGCGATGTTCTGCGTTCCAGGATGGCGGCGAAGGGCGCTCGACGGGAATGCAAACACAGGGTGGATGATGCGGCAAACGGTATTGGTATTTTGCCGTCTGACTACATCGATCGTGGCGATGGTCTCTTGATCGGTTTGGACACCTTCACAGCGAATCGTCATCTATTGCTGCCCAAGACATGTCCGGTAAGATACTTATCAATTATTTGCAATATCAATCAAAAGTTTATAAAGAATTTAATACAAGAAAAAAGTAAAAGAATAAATTATAAACTTAGTTTTATTTTTGTATTAGATCAATTTTTGATTAAAATTGATATATTTTTCCGATATAATTTATTTTGAGAGAAATTCTATAAAATCTTGCTATAAAATCATTTAGACGCGTAAATGCAAAAAATAATACGTATGAGAAGAATATTTATTCTTGATAATAGAAGCACAATAATCAGCATAAGATGCGTACTTTTGTGTTTAAAAGCTACAATTGAACGTAATGAAATTATTGTACTTCTGAGCGCAGACATATTTTTTGAATCGATGTTATCTAATAAGTCTTGTGGAAACTTTCTTATTACTTTAATGTCGATGTTAATTTAACCGCAGCAGAATTGAAACTTTTCAGTAAATGACGTGAGATAAGAAAGACGAAGTTCTAATAACTCTTTAATATAATAATAAAATTATTCGGAGGTCAATTATATACTTATACATATTATCTTTAGAACAAGCAGATTATTTTTAATTTATTAAATACTTAAGCTTTAATTTATTAAATACAGCTGAATTATTATTTTAGTATTAGATACGAAAATATTTTCTACAAGAAAGATTATTTATTTCTATTTTAAAAACACACATATTTGCTACATATATTTGCTGCATTTGAAATATAAAACGAAATATGAAACGAATAAAGAAATATAAAATGAGCAACAAGAAGACTCTTATTCTGTAAGAGTCTTTTTACATGTCAATTCAAGAATCAAATTTTTTCGTTGTAGTTTTTTAATAAAACCACTCCAAATTATATATCAAGATCCTAATTCTTTTACAAACTTTTTATGAAAGATAAGTTTACTGAAAGAATAAAAAGAAAAAGTTTCTTACTTCATCTCACTTATTTCTTTAATATAAATTCTCTTCCTATATTATAAAGAAAACTCGTAAACATTTGCCTCTTTTCTACACCTGTCTCTTTAATTGCGCAACACGATTCACGGTTGCTCCCCGCATGTGATATACCATATGTGCGTGCAACCGCATAATCTCGCATAAGCAGCGGTATGCTAAAGCGCGTAAGCTCCCTCAGCTTTCCACATGAAGAAGCACGAAACTACAAAGAGGTCACTTCTCGGAATCTAAACGCGAACTCGGAAACTCAGTTGAGTTACATAGTCTTCAGGTCTAGAATATTTGTCTGTTAATCCCATTGCTCGCGCATATCGTTCGATTGCTCTTAGAAACATCGAGGAAGACGAGCGTTTCGTAAAGCTGCATGTCGCACCTTCTCAAGAGAATCACTAGATATCGTGTCGTGAAAATATAACGTTTCAACTGGTGATCGGAAGGAACAGGAAATTTAAGATTGCTTTAATCTAAAACGTAATCTAAAATTCTTTGGAGACCTTGAAAATCTTGAAAATTTCGGAAATTTTATGAATTTGGAGAATCTGAAAAATCGTAGATATTATTTTGAAGAGAATGTAACTCTACGGATTCTGCAAACTATGTCAGGAATACGAAAGAAATCGTCGTTTACTACCGCTTAAAAGCAGAAAAGCGGTTTCCCATTTCTCGCATTGTTGATGATTTTCTTTATTTTAGATAATTCACATTTTACTATGCATTTTACTGCGTGCTTCTCGCGTTATAGCGACGAATAACGATCTTAGTACTTAGAGACTGGTAATTTACATTTAACGAAATATGCAAAGAAACCACATCCAACAGCTGCGCTCATCGTCAGTGACAAAAACTCACTGTTCGTATTTGCTCCGAAAGTTACTCCAAAATTAAAGTACAGTTCGATGTATTCTCCCGCATCTCGGGATAATTCTTGAAATTTTTTATCATAATTAACAACGTTTGAAATTATGAGGGTAGCCGCAAATTTTATCCAAAGAACTAAATAAATTCTTCTTAAAATTTTCTAAAAATCTTATTGCGATGATTTTGCTTATTCATGAAAAAGACTTAGTTAATAAAGATTCTAGTTGGAAAGAGAATTTTTCTTTTTTCCTCTCTTCAAAGAAAAGGAAATACACAGGTACATTTCATTGCATTTTCTTCAAAGATCGCAAAAATCGGATATCAAGTAAAAAGAATTACGAAGTATAGACATTATAAAATTGCACTAATTTATTGAATATATATCTTATATGTACATTCTATTTATAATTTAATTGATATCTTATTATTTTTAGAATTTTGAAAATTCATATTTATAACATTTATAAAATGATGTTTTTTAGAAAAAAAATGAGAAAGAGAGAGGGAGAGAGAGAAAAAGAAAAAAGAAAACTTTTTTCATCTCTTGAATCAACAGAAAGGTGCGCATTTCTTTGCTTGGTGGTATCCACAATCAAATAAAAGAACTGAAAAATATCGATGAAGAAGAAAGAAACCTGTGAAATGTCGGCAGAGAGAATTCGTGATATTTCTATTCTTTGCGAAATGTGCGTTCCTCTTGAAACGACAGCGACGAGATAAAGTCGTCGCTTTTATTCGATGAAGTCGGAACGAAGGCGACTAACATGACGTGAGCGGTTCAGTGAGTTTGTAAGGCACGTAAAGTTTTTCGTGACGTATATCTAAATCTATCGAGCATTTCTGCATCCTAATTTTGTTATCATATCTTACGGGAGAATGATTTTATTACGAGAATCTGATGAGCACGAAATTAATCTGCTCTAATTAATAATTAATTCCTTCCTGCCACGAAATTGAAATCTATGCAACTTGATCTTAGTTGCTTACTGTCAGCATAACTCAATTATATTATTTTCTTGTTTACGTTAATCGTAATACATTAATGATCCTGCTCGAAATTGCAAAATCGAAAATTCCCAAGTTAAAGTTATAAAGCATTTTGCTATGATCTGTACTCATGCATTATATATATATGGAGAGAAAAAACAGATACGAATCTTCGAAAAATTTTATCGAGAGAGGAAATACGAAAGTGTCAAAAATAATATGATTTTCGTAAGTGGATATCACGGTGTTAGATATCGAAAATTTATGTATCGAAAGTCTTTTGCGAAAGATGTTTTTTGTGAAGAAGTTTGATCATAATAGCGTGAGAGAAAGTCTTCTGTTATCGATTCCTTTGCTTGAGATGTGAAGCAGAGTACGAGAAATATCCATCTCGCGTCGTATTTTCCCAAATATGATTTACGCATCATTTATTGATATTATCAAATTTCCATAAAATAATGAATAGATTAATGGATGTTTAATTACAGGATGTAGAGTGAGATTCTCAGTAGATCTTATAATGTATTAATACACTAATTTGCGACAGCTGCTAATTCGGGACAGCATCTTTCATTAACCACGTGATCCTATTATCATTCCTGAACGTCGTTTAATTGAATATCCGCCCGCGTCCTTTGCGAAGCAGTTCATGCGAAGTAAATACGAATAGATATCGTCTGACACGAACCTGGAAACATGTTCCAGCGAGGCGTAACGCTGGATTAGAGAGAGCAGAGTTTATCGTAACCGGGACGAAAGGATTTATTAATCGGTGCTCACACCTCGCTTTATCTTTGTTCGAATTTCAAATTATTCTCCATATTGTAAAAACGTATGTAAAAGTAAGAATAGGAAAATAATATAATTAATTAATGTTATTAAATATAAATAAAATTAAAGTTGCGGATAAGTATATAAATGTGTTAGATAATATTGATATCTTAGTTGTAACATTATTTAATATTATACTTTACTTACAATTTATTACTTTTTTGTAATATTTCTTTAAAATTATATATAAATAATATTTAAAAAAATATAATATTAAATAATGTTAGAGTTAAGATATCAATGTTTGAATGTTTAATAACAAAAAAAATTAAGTGAAATCAAAATTATTATTTAAATTTTTAATAATTTTATTTAAAATGAGCCTTTACGTAAAAATTTATGTCAAAAATTTTTAATTAATTATAGAAATATTCAATTTTTGTATGGAATTTCAACCGGATTCGAAATCAAAATTATTATTTTGATTTATTATTATCTAAAATGAGCTTTTACGTGTCAAAAATTTTAAATTAATTGTAGAAATATTCAAATTTTGTGTGGAATTTCAGCCGGATCCGAAATGGGAATTTTCACGTTCGTTGCTGAAAATCGAGCAAGTGCTGGGCGAGGGTGAGTTCGGACGCGTTCTACGCGCTAAAGCCATAAATATCGCCGGGATACCTGGCTCTACCACCGTCGCGGTGAAAACGCTGAAGGAGAACGCGTGTGCTTCCGAGTTGGCGGATTTGCTGTCCGAATACCAGCTGCTGAAAGAAGCACAGCATCCAAACGTGATCCGACTACTGGGTGCCTGCACGATACCAACAGGCGCGCCGGTCTATCTCATCATCGAATTCGCCGAATTCGGATCTTTACGGTAAGTATGCACCGTGATATATTCGACGTTTGTCCTAACGTTATGTATGGCCCTTCCGTTTCACGAGGTTCTAGTCTTATCGATAACTCTTAATCGACTAGAAGCGAATCGATGCGGTTCGTGTAATATGCGTAATCGAATTTGGTTTTATCTTGCTTTACATCTCTCGTTGCAATATTTATTTTCGAATAATATTTATCTTCTTTAATAGAAATTTTATAATATTTATCTTCTCGTTGTAAAAATATTTATCTTCTCGTTGTAAAAATATTTATCTTTGAATAATATTTATTTTCTCTAAAAAAAATTTTATATTTACCATTTCTTGAGGGAATTTTACATTTGCTTTTCTTCTTATTTTAATAATTATAAATTACAAATATATATATTTTATATAAAATAACATGAAATTAATATTGTTTCAAAAATTTCAAGAAATTATATAATAATAATAAATGCTCAATAAATTTTAAAGAGTTTAGCAAAAAGAGAAGAATTGGACAAATACATATTAAAATATAGAAAATTGAAGAAAGAAAAATTCTCTTTAGTGATTTAAGGAAAATATTTTCTTTTAAATTATAGAGAATAATGCAAATTAAGAATAACTAAATAATATTCGGATATTAATTCTTACTATTCGTCCAATATTTTGCATACATTTCCTGGTATTTTGTATAGTTCAGTAATGATATAAAAATGATTTACGTAATTTTATTCTACTTATGCCACGATTTCTACGATTGCCCACATATACATTTCAAATGAATGATATTATGCGTCGGCCGACTTATAAACGCGGAAATATTTCTGGAAATTTGCTGTATTGTGGAATTCCATCGCACGTGGAATTTCACCACTGCCGGGACAATAACCTTTGCGAAACCAGTTGCTCTCGGTAATTAAATTTTTTCGTGGATGCAACACATGCCAAGGTACACCACTATTGCAATCCAGTCCCTCAAGAATGGACAGATTATTGACCAACAGTTCTCCGCACATTGCTTGCGGTTTATAGGATAAATTTATATGAAATTTCAGCAACTATCTGAGACGCAGCCGGCATTTGGAGTCGGAAAACAGAATTCCCGGTTCGACGTCTCTGCTTTCCACCTCGCCGATCAACGCTAGCGAAGAATCGCAATGTGATAATAATGCATCGAACTGTATTATAACGCCACGCGATATCCTTTCATTCGCTTGGCAAATAAGCAAAGGAATGGCATATCTCGCCGATATTAAGGTGCGATGCAATCTTCTTATATAAAATGTTTGAAATATTTATTTCAAATTTATTTCAATATTTACTTCATATTTTTATTTCAAATTATTATATAAAATATTTAAATATGTATATATATATATATATATATAATATATATATATATATATATATATATATTTAATATATATATATATATATATATTGAATATGTATCATATTCAATATGTATTGAATGATTGATTATATATAAAAATCAATAATTAAAAATTACTGCAACACATTCACATCAACTTTAATTGTAACTTTGCTATTCTGGAAGGGAATGCGAAAGTTGCGAAATGTCTCTCAACTTCGTAGAGTTATTAATCAAAGTTTCCTCCGCACTGCAGTTGGTGCACCGAGATCTTGCGGCGAGAAATGTTTTGCTCGCAACTGGCAAGGTTTGCAAGATCTCGGACTTTGGTTTAACTCGTGATGTGTACGAGGACGATGCGTATTTGAAACGGAGCAAAGGACGAGGTAAGATCATTGACTAATTAATATCCTTGAACATTTATTGACATTTTATCACTAAAATATTATTTTAAAGCAATAGCTAACAATGTCTGAATCAACTAATTATTCTTATTCATTCTCTAGAAGATAAAAAGTATGTGAAACTTATCAATATAATACATCACAATAAATACCATGACGTTTCGTAAGTCATTAGATAAATGTAGACAAATTGAAAAACGTGTTATAAATACGTGTTTAGAATTGGAAAGAATCAGTGCAACAGTGCAAGCCACAGATAATACCATTTTAACCTGATATTAACGACTTTAATTCAACCGCGACCTCCGAGTAATCCTCTCGTAATTCACTCGACGAATTCGCTAGAAAAACATTTTTAATGACTCGCCCGACTCGTACTTCGCATTATCCAAGGGTTTTACGATTGGTGCTTGCAGTACCTGTGAAATGGATGGCGCCGGAATCCCTGGCTGATCACGTGTACACCAGCAAATCGGACGTATGGAGTTTTGGCGTGCTCCTATGGGAATTGGTCACATTAGGAGCCTCACCGTATCCCGGAGTGGACGTACATAATCTCTACAATCTGTTGAAGGCTGGCTACCGTATGGAAAAACCTCTCAACTGCTCCCAACAATTGTAAGTTAATAACAATCGTGTCATCTTTTATAAGTTATCTATCATTCTTGTAAGAGAGAGACAAAAAGAAAATGAAAAAATTATTTTAAACTATTTTAAAAATCTAATATTTAAAATTTCCTTTTTAAATGAAAATTAGTTTCGACATTTGTCTATTGTATAATTTTCTTTTCAACGTATAAATTTACGTTTATCTCTGTAAATTTAGCATTTCCCGAGTAAATTCTTTATAATTAACTTAGCTAATTCATGTTGATAAAATGAACTTAAGACTACATGCGACTGTCACTCATATGATATTTATAACTGAAGGGAATTCATCTGTAATTATTATCAAAGAATTCATGATTATGGTGGCGTGACTTCATATCACAAATGAAATATTCATCATCTTCATGAAAATTAGATCAAGATACTGCGAAGAGTCAGCCTCAATACATACCGTGTTATGATTATGAAATTAGTATGATATATATACTATTATAAAAAGTAATAATTTATACAGGGATGATTCGCCCCTCGAGTGTCATGTTTTCAATTGTCGTTGCTAAAGCTATGTTCTTGGAAAAATGCCCCAACATAATATAAAATAGACTAACTTTCTTACAATTTATCGTGAAAATCTATTCTCTTTCACCTCAGGCGGGACATTACTTATTTTCTATCTTTATAACTTCTAAGGAAACACATTTCTTCCATTCGATTGCTTATGAGAGATATTTTTTCAGATATAAACTGATGGTATCCTGTTGGCATCAAGAGCCTGGCATGCGACCGTCGTTTAAAGAATTGACCAGCCATTGGGAGCGTATGTTAGAGGATGGTGTTGAGTATCTTGATCTTAATCCAAGAACCGTCCATAATCAAGCTTACTTTGCATCTTTGCATGCCTTAGATAGCGCAAATGGTAAGTGAAATCAACAAGCCCATTCGAAATACCATTTACAATTCGCTATTATAAAGATTAATAAATTATATTTAACAATTTATATTTAATAATTAACAAATCATATTTAATAATTTAATTGTTAGAAATTATTATTTATAAATTAGAATATATTCTGACAATTCCAAATTATTTTTCCAAAATCTTATCATTTAATATTAACCTTTATAATTCAATCGTCGCTAATAATTATTAATAATTAACTGATTTAAAATAATACGATTAGGAGGATTATGTAATTTTTATTTTATTTTTTTAGGTTCTGAAAACGATCAAGTGGACAACGGGACTGCCAGTACTTTTAAAACGAATACCGTCAACTATCTTGGTCGAATGTCTTCTGAACCAGTTACTAAATGCGACAAGATAGATAAATTACAGGCGCTTTGGCGCTTGGCGGCTCCGTCCGTAGCGTCATTTCCTGAGGAAGCCGTTAAGTCGTCGTACGTAAACGATCAACCAGCGAACCTGAACGCTAATCACTATGAAAGCCCGATAAAGCTACGCAACATCAGTATGACCAGCAACAGCGAAAATGACTTGACAACACCTTCGAACGAACGTCCTCAATCCTACATCGATATGCAGGGAAAGAAATCGGTGGAGACAGAAGACCTTCTGGTATTTAGTAGTATAGATGATGACAAGAACGATAATAACGTGACGAACTGATTGATATAATCTCGTATTGGATAATATATTGTGTCGAATTTGAAACAAATGTGACATAAATGAGAAAATTTCAAAATGGGAAACACCAGTTTCCTAAGTCTCGATATCTTCTTTATCTTGAGACTAATACATGGTGAATGAAAAAAGTTAAGACAGCTGAATAATGAAATAATTAACGATTCCGAGTTATGCGAAAAAGAAGAATATTTATTTAACGTAGGGACAGAGAGAGAGAAAAATATGTACAAACAAGGAGGACATTGGAAGACAATGTGATTTGCGTGAAATGCCATTTTTAAAGACAACGCATTGTAGAGAATGATAATAATACAGTAAATATAAAAATGTGCTGAGTGAAAATAAATAAATGAAAATTTACTAACATTGCAGCTTTAGCAACGAGTATCAATTACGCAAAAATGAAGAAACTGTAAGTTAAGAAATATCGTAAAAGAAATTTTTGAAACGACTGAATGAGGTTCTATCAAAAATTAAGAGCAAACTATACTGCGCAAAGAGCGTTTATTATAAAAATAAATATAAATTAAATTAGTAATTTGTCCTACTTTCATGTACTTAAAGTCATATGACTGTCCATCAATCATCACTGATAAGGCTGCTTTTATTATTATCAATGATAATAGTTATGTATTACATTTATTCGTGCGATTTATATTTATTCGTGCGATTTCTCGAAAATATTAGGTTTTATAATTTTTAGCATTTAAAATCTGCATATCGCACTATGCAAGTGTGATAAGAGATTCGAAAATAATTGCTCATTATAAGAACATCAAGCTTTTTTGCGTTCTAAGAATACAGGGTGTCTTAAATTATAAATTGTTTTCTATTGTTAACAATTTTAATTTTTAATTATTTCAATTTTATTCCATTTTAAGTGGATTAAAATTGAAATAATAGAATTTTAATCGAGACACAACAGAAATTTTATTCGAGATATAATTGCGAGAGATATTAATATTGTAAGAAGTTAAAGATGGTCTTCCATCATTTTTCTTGATAAATATCTATGGTTGTGAAGTTGTACGACGAGACACCCTATCCATGGCGCTAATTTAATTGTCTGACTTGAAACTTAATCATCACGCTTCCTTTAAAATGAAATATTTTCTTAAAATGAAATATTATCGCACTAGCTTTTGTGGCTTTCGTGTGTCTAACACAAAGCAGCAAATCGCACGACGAAGTGATACGAAAAGATAGAATTTTTACGAAACATATGTGCGAATTTCGATTGGCACAAACCGTATCCATAATGTGCTTTGACGTACCTCAATGTACTGAATATAATGGACGAGAAATCGTCCTTTTTGTATTTATGTATAAAACGTAACATTCCACATGATTAGCCTAGTTATTTATCGATTTACAGATTCCACGACAACCGCGCATGATTTCGATTTGTGTCATTTTTTTTTCGTTATTGACCGATTGTGTTAAACACCAACGATATCGAACGATGCGCCTTATGAACCGATTAACATTGTGCCATATTATTTTCTTGTGATTAATATATTACGAAATGTATAAAAAAGGCTTTCATGGAGAGTCCATTTTTATATTACCTTTACCTCTCTAATATTCAGCAGTACTTATTTTTCCAATAATAATTTTATTGAAAATAAGAAAAATTACAATTAAAAAAAGATAAGAAAAATTAATAAGGAGAAAAAGGAGATTTGTTAGAAAAATAGAACAAGTGATTTTTTTATAAAAATTTACTTTTAAAAATGCTTATGTGATTTTAATATAAAAGATATAATACATAATATATGTAATAAAATTTTTTTACTAATTTGCACAGTACAATTATATATAAAAAGATATAATTTAAATTTTAGAATACAGAAGCAGGACGGAAGTTTTATTTAATACAAGTTATAGGATTTTTTAATAGAAAACTATTTTTTATTTGAACTATTGTCACATAAAAAATCATTCATGATATAGAAAATGAATATCTTATGAGTTATATATATATATATATATATATATATATATATATATAAATTGAACTTGTGATTCATATATATATATATATATATATATATATATATATATATATGAATCACTATATATATATATATATATATATATATATATATATATATATAAATCACAAGTTCAATTTGTCGATGTGAAATTCACAGTCATTCTTCGTAAAATTAAAGTCAAGGTTCTTTTCTTCACTAACCTCGCCAAGTAAATTCAATTCATCAATATTTGTCGTAAAAGATTGAGGTATGACATCGTCATTCGGTATATCAAGCTTATAAACCTCATTGGACCGATCGATTTTAATGTCTTGTACTTTTTCATTCTTAATGATTGATGACAACAAACCATCTAAAAAATTCAAATTGACTGATTACTAAAAGTGTTGACATAATGTCAGTGATAATAACAATGATGACAACTTTATCGAGTGAAACGAATAAAAAAAAATATACAAAAATTATTTTAGTAGTGTTAATTTTTAGTAGTGTTTAGAAGTATATATATATATATATATATATATATATATATATATATACTTCAATATAAAAATAAAAAAAATGTACAAGATGACAACAAGAACATTGTTAAAATAGTAAAAAAAAGAATCTACTTTTGATTGCGACTTACCAGTTTCATCGGTGTTTTTCATCGGTGTACTACTAGCTTCGTTTTCAAAAATCTTTATCGTGGCGCATCTAATGCTTTCCAATAATTTTGTATCCGATGCCGTCAGAAATCGCAAGCAACTGATACCATGGATCGTTTTCACAAGCTTCGTCAGATTCTCAGGTAAATGGAACTTCTTAAAGAGTCGCGCTTCTTCTGGTATATGATCTGACTTACAGTATGGCAGGTATACCGCATAATATCTCTTGTTTCTCTGCGGATAGTTCTCTTTCAGCAGACGTAACAAATGATTATCCACGTTTCGATAAATGATCGTTGTATCAGATTTCACAGATGACATCGGCGGGGATGTCACGATTAACACAACATTCGCAGCCTGAAACGCGATATTGCACCAGAGTCCCGGATCCTGCAACAACGTTATAAGATATTATATTTTCCTGTATTAATTAATTAATTAATTTTATTATTATATTTGTGTCATCACAAACTCTTATTACAAATTTATTATCACAAATTTATTTTGCAATAATTAAAATTGTAGACATACCGATTTATTAATTCATTACTTACTTTGCTGGTAGTTTCTGGGATGTCAAACATATCTATCATGACGTTGATATTACAACATTTCAAATATTTTGTCAATTCCGCCATTACATTCACGTGTGCCGGGTGTGTCGGGGAGTAGACCAGCAAACAATTTGGTCTTATTGCTATTCTCTTTAAAACTAATTAATAGATCCGTATAAAAAGATAAGAATAATTTATTGAAAAAAATATCAAGAAAAAATTAAATTCTTACCTTTCTTCCTATAAAGTTTAAACGCATGATACAACGCGTACAATAAGACTGGTGGTATCCATATTAGACTGATTATCATAATCAGCAATCGATCGGACTCGTGTTCTAAGAAATGCAATTTAAAACGATATTAAGCAAGTCGTTAATGTTACGAGATAAAAAATTGCTTCGCTAAATTATCTTTACTTATGCATATATACGGCGATGTACTATTCGCGCATCCATATTTATCACACTTTGGATGTAACGCCGCGACTTTGACGTAATACACGCCATCCGGCGCCGAGAAATTATACCGTATGAGTCCATTATTTTTGTTCTTGGATATAATTGCAGTGCTGACCGATTTCGTACCGTTATTAATTAACCATACTTTATATTTCGTCACATTGTACGTCAATGGAAGTGATTGTACGTACACCGCTAGATTCGATAAATCCGATAAATCTATGTACATAAAAGGCGTGAAGTTTTCGACTGGGACGCCATCCTCTGAAAAATTCGTACAGATACAATTTATAAACAACAAAGATGAAGAATCATGGAAGAAAGGACTTACCGATAAATTTGTGTTGCGGCACATAGAAAATATATTTTTTACTGTACACGAAATTTTCGCCGATCATAAGATACTCCAAGCGATACGGGGATCCTTCATACGTAGCATCGGAAAATGGACACGACACGTATAGTTCTTTTGGTGCAGGATGAGTAGCGTTTCCGTACAATTCAACGTATCTACACGCATTCTCATTCTCGTTGGCGATATTTTGATACCGTATAATTAACCCTATTTTAAAAATAAATTTTTAGTGTAAAAGTGGGGATGCTGCAGTGGAAGATATTTAATTAAATATTTGTCTTTAAATTGAATATTAAATATTTTGATAGTGATATTTCCTTACTATGAAAATTAATATCTGAGATCGATATATTAAATGCTGTCGCTTTTTTTTGTTCAACTTCAAAGTTTTTCATGTATGCATATAATGCAAAGATTGCGTTATCTTGTTTAGATGATTTCTTATCGGCTTCGTCAAACTTTAACTTTGCGCAATCTAAAAAGTCATGCAATAATGCGTAATTTCATTCATAAAAGAGAGAATCTTCGTTAATTTATATTCTTTATTATATTCTTTACCTTTCCCATGTTCTACCCGCGTTAATACACATCGGAAACCTGGTGTTGGTACCAGGTGAGTCTAAAAAAATAAAAAAAATTATTACAGGTATAAAATATTTCAAAAATTACAAAAAACTTAAAAACTCGACGTAGGATTAAGTACATAAATTGAAATTATTTAATAAAATTATTCTTAGCTCCAGAAAATAAAATAAAAGAATATTACAAAAAGACAAACACAACGTTTCGGTCTCTAAACCTCTTCAATGTCATACAAATCAAAATGATAATGGAATCGAACAAAAGAAGAAAATAACATTGAAAATGATATTGCTTCAATTATATTTATTTCGTCATTTTGATTTGTATGACATTGAAAAAGATCTGGATAAGACCGAAACGTTAAGACCGACATGAAACGTTTGTCTTTTTTGTAATATTCTCTTATTTTATTTTTTTAGATGTAAGAATAATTTGATTAAATAATTTCAATTCCGTAATTAATCTTACGTCGGGTTTCTAAATCTTTTGTAATTTTTTATTTATATCATATGACCCTTTACTTCTCGTAATATTTGTCTATGTATGTATAATACTGATAAGTAATCAATTCAAGGTAAAAGATTGTTATACTGATTGAATAAAAAGATAAATTTTTATTTTAAATCTTATATCAGTTACATATAATGCAAAAATAATATTTGTTCATTATCTCTGTACAATTATATATATATAAATGAGCAATTTAGATCTATACTAAGCATATTTATAGGAGTAGTCATCATGCGTAAGCCAATCACATCACGTTTGCATAATTTACATGTTGTTTTGAGAATATTACTTTGAAAACAGAAGTTACATAACAAGATTAATTTATGTTATAAAATGATAAAAAAAAGATTGTATTCACGATCTAACTTTCATTTTAAGATTAATATTTCATTAACAAATCAATATATAAAGAAAAGTGTGCAATTTTTTGAGACACCCTATGTATATATGCCATGTGATGTTACTGATCATTTGAAATCGATGTACATATTACATCTGTATGTATATGGGTGTGTTTTATTGTGCTGTACGTGTGACAAATAGAATATAATACTTACTAGATTTTGACAGTAATCTGGATAACAATATGAAGCTAAGGCACGTTCAGTCAAAAAACACAGAACTATCACGAAGAAGAAGCTAAGGATTGTTACACGCATTTTTAGGTTACCCGTTATTTGACAATACACAACACTTGATAGACAACACGTGTCATCGACCTCAACATATCAAACGCTTTGAAGCTTGACAACGACTCCGATTTTCACGATGTCATCTCGTATACTCCGATTTACATGCTTCGTCGTAGATTTAAACAACGTAAAATATGCGTGCACAATGCGAAACAGCAAATATTTCTATCAGACGAGACTAACTGCGTATCGGCACAATGAAGACTCTGCTGGAAATGATAGGTACTGCTTACATCGCTTGGAGTCGACAAAAACGATCTCTACAAAGTATCAATGATTCAATGATCAAATCTTTGAATCAATCAATGAATAAAAATCAATAAACAAAAAATTACTATACGAACTATTATATAAGTAAGAAAAAACCAAGAGAGAAAAATATGGCATTATATCATCTTTTCTTCGATGCTTTAAATTATAACAAATATAATACGTGCTTTGTAAAATATAAATCTAAAAATATGATCGATAAAAGGAAGAAGATAAATTTTCTTAGATTTTGATAAGATAAAAAGCAAGCATTAAAACAATATTGATAACTTTCAAACTATTAGAAAAATTAAACATAAGATATAATTAGAGTAAGAGGAACTAACAGCATTATTTTTATAACTTTTATTTTCTAAATTCTACAGAAAACGAGATATATATTAAAAAGAAGGATAAAATTTGATACGTGTTTAAAAAAAGGATTATTTAAATCACAAAATTATCATGCGCGTTGGAACATAAAATAAAAAATAGTATAATTCATATTTATCTTTATAGTTGGTTGATTTCATAAACGTCAGATTATAGATAAGATGATTTATTACAAACTGCTTTACTAGAAACAAGAATTGCTTATAATTATAATATATAATGCAATGTTAAAAATGAGTACATTACTATTTTTATATACTATTACACAAAATATTTCAGTTTTTCAACGAATTCGTTGGTTAATCATAATTAAAAATTGGCTTATTAACCTTATTTTATTTGCAACATTAAAATGTCGAGAATAATTTAATTAAGATTATATGTGTTTTTCTTTTTTCTTCAAAAAAAGATTCTTTTACTTTTTAATTAAAGCACTTTCCATTTAAATTTAATTACGCTGGTTCTTTTAATTGAAAATATATTTATTATTATGAATAAGTTTACGTTTATGTTATTATGAAAGTTTCGAGACACCATATACACACCGCCTCCTTATCTAACATACTTTCGTCAAATCGCATTGCGTCGTGTCTTGGTAGACGGTAAATGCGATTAAAAGTTCTTTGCACTCAGTAACACATTCTTCATGCGGACGCGATATTGTCGATGTAGCGAATTTATAATCAATTTGCAACTGCACGCACCAGATAATTTTATATTTTTGCACGATATGTTTCGGACGCGACACGCTATGAAAAGATTTCTTGGAGGAGAAAAAGATGGTAACAGGACGCACAACAATATATATATATACATACATACATATATATATATATATATATATATATATATATATATACAACTGTAAAAGATATTTAAAAAACTCTTTATATCATGCAGTCATTAGTGAAAGGGAAAATATGCTCTGTTTGAAAGAGAAAAGCTTTCTATCTCATCAAAACAAATCAAAAAAGAAAGTAAACATACGATCATCTAAAAACACATGCTCTTAAAAAGTCTAACAATAAAACAAACAAAATGAAAAATATCAAAGATTTATCTTATTGATAATGGTCGATCGCGTTAAGATGCAAATTCATTAATAATTGCGTGCATTTAAACTATCGACGGCGATAGGCTCGAAGTTCTTCCGTAGATCCTGCCAGCATTCATAGTAGGCATCGTCCAGCTTGTTGCAGAATTTACTGGCCCATTCCGTCACGGCCATGCTGTACGAGGTCTCGAACATAAATGCTTGCATACCGTCGCCGATGCGTTCCGGTTTCAGTTCGTTTTTGGTCGCGGCCTCGAAGCATTGCTTATCAGGACCGTGTGGAGTCATGACAGAGTGTAATGATGCACCACCAGCAGAGAAACCGTTCTCCTTCGCTTCATAACGACCTTTTATAAGTCCCATAAATTCGCTCATGCAATTTCCTAAAAATTAAACAGCAAAGTTTTCAAAGTATATTTTTCTTAATAATTTATATAAGCTGTGAAAAAGAGATAATAAATTTATAATATATTATTAACTTTCACTACTGTTTGATAATATAAATAACAAATGTAATATATCAATATAAATTACTGTATCTAAAATAAGACAAAGAAACAAAGTATAATAAGAAAAACAAACATGTTATTTCTTCTAAACATAAATTTTGTTAAACATAAATTATTACAACTGACATAATGACATTTCAAAAGAAGCTATTATTGAATCAATCGCCTAATTATGTAAATTAATCCGCAAAATATGTCCGAAATTTATGTATGGAATTGAATCCAAACATTAATTAAATTTTTTAAATAATTTTTAAATAATGACTTAATTTCCTTAATGATATTATAATGGATATTTTCGAGATCCGACATGCCTGTTAATAGCTGTCAAATAAATTAAAATCATCATTTAAATAATGAATCACCGTTGAGTTTCGTCATTGATTCGTATCATTGAAAAACCAGCATGCGAAACGAGCGCATATTGCGCGTCATGACGATTCGCGATCACACAATGAGATGCACCGGGATCTGTAATGGAAATTCCGCGCATTTTGCATATTATCGTTCTCCACGCGCTGCCGACTTATTCATTAATGTGGAGAATGGTCCGCATTGAAAATACGCCGCTATACTGGTTATCAAATCTCGGAGAAAGCAGCGAACAGCTACTCTTACTGACACTCGCTAGTATTTTGAGATACGTATCATATGTTTCATATTGCATAGCTTCATATTAATGAAATAAAAATCTTATGTCTTTCAATATATGTGATATATACACTCCATAAAAAACTAACTAACTTTCATAAATTTCACTATTTTAAGATAAAAGAAAGAAATACAATTATTTTAAAAAAGCAAGCAAATAATTGTATTACTAGTTTAAAATGTCATTGAAATATTTCACGAATTAATTTTATTCTATAAAATCTATTTATTTGAATCTATAAAACGACTTTTCCGCAATTATGTGGGAGATTTTAATGTTATACAAATGAAAAACTCTAATACTAATTTTTTCATTATTATTTTCTTATTTTTTACTTGCTTTCTTAAAATAATTGCTCTCTTCCTGTTTTTTCTTTTCCCTAGAATAATTAAATTTATAAAATCTTTTTCTATAAAAATATACATTGTATTAAATTATTTATACTGATAAATAATTATTTGACAAAATATTAATATTTCATAAAAAGATATAATTGCAGTCATCTTTTCATAATAATTTTCATAATAATTTTCATAATAATTTTCTACTGATACAATTATTTATTGATTAAATATGCATAAATATGCAAAATTGTTTTAATAATGAAATATATTTACACATTCGATATTCGATGATAAAATTAATTACTTTCTCCTCTCGTAACAAGTAAAGAATTTTTTGTCGGATTTTAATAAGATTCTCGATATAATCAATTAATTTTACAATCAGAAAATATCATCACGCGTTTAGTTCATTACAATTATCCTAATCGAATCCTATAATTTCGCGTGTAATTTCTATACAATGGAACGGACGCTCTCGGGGTTTTGATAATGATCGCTTCTTGTAGTTTTCAATTACTTAACCCGTAAGGATGCCTTCTCGTCGATAAGCATTATACCTATGCCTCTTTCTCTTTGCACGCAACTTTCTCAACAAGAGCGCAATAATAAGTACAGTGAAACACAACAGCAATAATGACGACAAGGACGACTGCGACATTAAACGAAAGTGGCCCATTCCGTCTTGTAATCGATCGGATTGTGATAGAAAATCGGTGAAACGACCTATCGAAGAAAGAGACATTGTGCGATCGGAAAAAATTTCGAGTTTTCTCTGTGCTAACTCAATTGCACAATTTTCAGAAGCGCTCTTCCGGAACAAAGACGCCACCGAGTCGAGTTCGGCGGAATACTTGCTCGAACTCCTGTCGTATATACTTGACTCGTGATATTAGAGCAGATCTTATAATTTCAATATATCATATTCACAGTAAACATGTTATATAGATCAATGAGAATCCGTAATTCAAACATCATGTAATTACAAATAATTATCAAGTAACAAAAATTCAGAAAAGATAAATCAAAAAAGAATTTAAAACAGACGTTTTAAACATCTAAAGTCATCTTTTGATGTCTTATATTCATTCAAAACCATTATTTATCAAACTTGCATTTTTCATTAAATGAAAGTTTAAATGGATATAGAAACTATGACATTTATGGCTCACGAATAATGTTTCAGTAATCTTATCAGATTTCACTGGCGTATCCTGTGATTTCTTTTATATATTAATTTGATATAAAAAGAAATTAATAACGCGTACCGGGCATTGTCCTTATTTCTTTTAGCTAAAATCATGTATATGGGCGCAAAAGGAATATATTACTTTCTACTTACGATGATAATAAGGGGGTCGGAAAGTATGCTCCTGCACGGACCATCGGGGTGGAAAGATCACAAAGTCGGCCGCGGCGGTTCCAGGCTTGTTAGTAGGACAAGTCAGCACAGTAAAAATAGACGGATCCTGTGGAATTAAATAAATTATTCAAATTATTTTGAGACAGAAATGTTTACTATATATATATATTATATTATATTAAATACATGCAAAAATTTGAAATTTAATCTATATATTAAAAAGAATTAAGGAAGAGAAAGAGAGAGAAGAAATTTAGCGCATCAGTGAAGATAATATTCAATTATTAATCCTCTTCCTGTACTATTACATAGAAACTTTAGCTGACATATATGAGAAATTTTACACGTGTAGAAATTTCCTTTCAGATCTCAGAACTTTCTTGGATCTATGATTTTGAAAATCTACTCACGCAGTGGTCAAAGGAGACTGAATTGATGACCATAAATTTATCGAGATCATATTTATAAGGTACGTAATTGCCATGCCATGCGACCACATCGAAGGGACTGTGATCTTGATCGGCTACAAACAGCTTTCCCTGATATTTGCATACGATCTCGTAATCAGTCTCGAGATCCTCGTACCAAGCTACCGGTGTCTGAAAGTCTCTCGGACTCGCCAGACCGTTCGCTCCTACAAATTAGCTTATTAAATTGGTCGTTCAAGAAATATTAATTAATCAAGTTAATTCATCCATTTTCAATTGAAAAAATTTAATTCTTCAACAATGCGATGTAGAATTATACTTTTCACAAAGTTCGGTCTTGAAAATTTAATATAAAGAGTTTAAAATCTGACATTAAAAATCATAAATTGGATCCGTTTTCTAAAATTTCTAAAAATATAGATAACATAGATAATATAAATAAAGATAGATAATATGGATAAAATAGGTTCCATTTTCTAAAGATTCTAAAAATATAGATAATATAGATAATATAGATAAAATATAGATAACTCTGAAATTTCTATGCGTGATCGTTCGAATCTATGATTACCTATCGGTCCCAAGTCCGGCAGCTGAAAGTGATTGTCAAAGACCTCGAGAATGTAACCTCTGGATGGACCGAAAACAGTGACAGAAAATCGCATTCCCTGCTGAATAACGCATATCTCGTTCGGTTCGCATCGCATCTTTCCGAATTCGGTGGTGATCTGCAGAGCGCCCAATTGCGGTACTGCAATCAGGATTTCGTTTTAACATATGTATGTTTTTTTAAGAAAAGTATAATGTCGCCTTCCTACTACTACCTACCGATGAGAAAATCACCATCGGCGTTATAGAAAGCTCTATCTTTCATAGAAGCATTGCACAAATACATATGTATCGCGACACCCTGACGCATTCTGGGATCGCCAGCACCACACAGAGTATGAAGACCTTTGATAAAATCGACTTCAGGATCTTGTCGACTAGGGACGTCAAAAGTCTTCCATCTTAGCTGGAAACGCGAATGGTTAATTTCGGAGAAATAATTTTTTATTTTTCAATACTTCACTTGAAGATTTCAGTGCAACAAATAGATCTATTTCATCTTTTTTTAATTTGAAAAATTTAATCTCAAACTTGAGAGAGAAAACTGAATTTAGATTAAATATTTAATTAAATCATTATAATATTCTTAGATTCGATACCTGATTGGGATTTGGATATGTCTTGTTCCAGTCGTAAGATTCGTTATCGTAAGCTCGATTAAAGACCTTGAACGGTTTATGAACGACAGATGGTTTTATCCGATAGAGCCACGACCTTTTATTTTGATTTCGTGGAACTAAGAAGTAAAAATAATAGCATTTTCGAAAATGATATTGCGTAATAAAATATTAAATTATTATAGATGAAAATATATGAAAAATTATTAATATAAAATTTATGTGAAAAATAATTTAAACAATTAATTCAGAATTGTAATATCTTAAAATAGTGACTTGTAATGTTTTAATGCTTCACTCAAAGTCTGATAAGAGTATTACGTAAAGATTCGTGAAGGGAATCTTCCTTAATTACGATTCAAAAATTTTTCATTACTTAAATTTTATAAAATTACACTTTTTTTTTAATCTCAGTTAATGATTTTCTAACTTAATTCTAAAACACATTAATTTTTTAAATTTTAATTTCGGACTTTATGTTTATATTATAAATATATGAAAAGTCTCAAATTTGTATATACTTACACAAAATACAAAATATTCTTTAAGACACATTGCTCCAAAAATATCGAAAGGATTCCGAATGAAACGCGATTTTACTCACCGGTGAATGCTGTTCCCGATAATTGTTCGGCGTAAAGATTATATGGACATTTCTGCGGATTATTCTGCCCAACAGGCAGCGCCCCAGGACAACGCGTATCCTCGCTGAATAATTCGCATCCGAAACCCGTAAGATACTGAAAAAATACATATCACTTTTCTATGTTCACTTCGAAAATACTATTATTTTTTCTTATTAGATTAACTAGTTACATTAGCTCTCATTATATCAAATTTTCTTTAATTTTTATAGGTTTCAAATCAAAATTATATTGCAATTAATTGTATATTTTTATATACTTATTTAAAATAGAATAATACTATTTTAAATTTTAAAAATATATCACGAAAAGCTTTAACTCTCGAATTTACAAAATATATATATACATTTATAAAGACGATTTCCTAACTATCTTCATCATAAAAAAACGATACAACATATATAAAATATATTTTAGCATGACAAGAATAAAAATTACAAATTGAATTTAAAATAAAAACTTAGGATCGATATCGAAATAATAGCCTGATTACCTTAAGCTCGTCCTTCATGATGCAGCGAAAATCTTTCCTCTAGAGGCACGACGTCGCTTTCGTTAACGAAATAAAATTTCCACGGCACTCCTCCGCTTTATATAAATGCGGTCGTCCTTAGATACAATGACGACGAGAAGTTATACAGAAAACATGTTTATCTGCTCGTGGACCAATCAGGCGCAACTATCCACATAGGCACGACTAACTACACGTTAATAGATATAGCTCTTAGACTCTGATAGTTAATTAAAGAATCAGAAATTCCATATTTCTTTACGATTTATCGTTGAGTTTTTCGTGGCCTAGACGAGCCTCTTGCAACAGCAGCATAGTTCATCGATTTACTAATCGTTGTATAATCTTATCGACACGTGTGACTCGTATTCAAATTAGCTCCTAATATAGTCAGATATTTTCCACAGCATCATGTCAAATAAATCTTTTTTTTGTTTTAATGTTCAAAAGTAAATCTCAAGAATTTATTTAGACGAAATTCAATAATTCACAATGTTGAGATAATATAGACAACATAGAAATATTCTATATATATCTTTATGTATTTTTCTAAATTGTATACGTATCTAATTTTATACGATTGAGCAATAATTTCCCCAATTATAAAATTAAATTTGCATGAAGTATAAGACTTATCATAAACAAGATATAGTTCGAAAATCTTTAAAAAATTCGTTTCTAATATTTCTCAACATTTCTTTTTTAAATAAAAAAAATTATATTATTATTCTTATTTATATTCTCCTTTGCGTATCTTTAATATATCTAAATATAATGTATGTATATTAAATATGTAACGTAGTACTTTTTTTAAGACAAAAATAATATATGAATGCTTTGCATAGATTTTCCTTTAAATAATTATGTTTATTGCATACTGATCAGGTATGTGATTTCTATCGTGGTTTATTAAAAACACTCTTATATCTCTAAGAAAGATTTATAAGCAAAATAGGTGTGTATGACTTGAAAAGTATCACACTTCATGTTAATTATTTTACGTCATTTTATAATTTACAAACTCGTCTTGTTTGCTATATTTAATATCATATCAAGGTATGCACGCTTATTTTTCAGTATTTTATAGTATACAGTACGTTCTACTTATATTTATAAGGTTATTATATTCTTTTATTAATAATTTTATATTATTATATTTTATTAATAATTTGATAAAAATATAACAAATGAGTTACATCAATTATATTTTATAATATTTTAATTATATTATAGTATGCTTTATCTCACAGATTCGTATAGATTACAATACAAGATTAATAAAAATCTTCAAAATTCTCATTCTCAAAGATTAATAAAAATCTTCAAAATTCTCATATATTTATTATGATAAGATAATGTTATATTTGTATCGTTTTTCGTCAAACTTAATCGATTATCTTGCAATTACAGAAATATTTAAATTCGCAGCATCGCATACTTTCATAGAAATATGCCCATCAGAAAATTTTATAAATTTATCTTAGCACTTTATAAATTTATTTAATCGTCTTCACCTTGATGATTACTTATCAGTTTTCGCGAAAAGTTTGTTGACTGCGAGAAAGTTTCACGCCAAACGAGTACGCCTTCTCGCATCTTTGATGTAATTACACGCGAGTTTCTATCAATCATGATTGCAAAGACGTTTATCTTGCTACGATAAAGTCGAAGACGCAAAAGAAATCGTTTTAATTCAAAAATTCGCTATTAATATTAAAAGAAAAAGAATAATGTATATGTGTGTTGCAATCAATATTATATAAATAAGATTTATTTGTGTTTTTCATGTTTTTCTTATATAATGTTGCATTATATTAAAATATACTTGATACGTGTCGCATATAAAATAGATTTTATTTATACGCAAATATCAATTTTCTATCATTTTACATAGAATTACATTTGCATCAGTTAATAATTGATAATACACATTCAATTATAGTAATAAAGTTTCAAACTTTTAAACTCATTCAAATAGCAGCAACTGCAATGCAGAAAATAACGTTCGCCATAACCAAGACATTTGCTATAATTGTGCTCTATATTCTCGAACTTTCACCGCGAGAAAGATTAGTTATTTACTGATGACACATAATGACAAGCCAATCACGTTCGCTTGCAAAAATTTTTACAATACGAACAGAACCAACGAAACGTTTTCAAGAATCGATCATGATATGAGTGAGTGATTGGAACGAGTTTTATGACGGAAACGACGAGTTTAATTATGATGCGTAGTGAATTTGCATATGATCACGCGTTGTTTTTATGAGCGACCATCGCGCAGAAAAAGAATTTATAATAATTATAGCACTTGATATAGCTGCAGACAGTTTTTTAAGTCGCGGTTATATCAAGAATAAATCGATAGAGGCGACAGAGCACGACAATCTCACGATAATCGTGACAAAGCAATTAAAACAATTCGCAACATTGTGGCAGTAAGATAGTTTCTACGTCAAAAGTTGCCTGTTTACGATAAAAAAATAAGCGTTAATTAATATATATTTTAAACAACGAACTTTTATATTTCTTGCAAAAATAAAATTCATTGCGTAGCTTATTATTTATTTGTTCAACTAATCAAAGTTTACTTGCAAAATTAGTTTATTGTTTTTTAATGTGCACGCATATAATGCTTCTATTGCAAAGTTGATCGCTTATGATGAAATAAATATCTCTATTTATTTCCATATATATTTATACGAATCAATTTTACTGCCAAGATTTACTCAATTTTGCAAAAATAAATTTTAATTATACTAGAAAAGCTCTAACATACTTTATACATTGCACAACATCGCTCTAACTGGTTTTCAAAGTAAAATTCAAGTAATAGTGCAAAAATTTTTGATAAGAGACTGGTTATATCGAGAAGTACTGAATTTTTTAAACGTTGGCTCAGAAACCGCTTGAACTGGTTTCATTCTGATCGCGGAAAATGCCAAATTTCTTAAAAGCCAATATATACCAAGATTCAACTTTATAGATAATTTAACAAATGCCAAATTTAGCCATCTTTGATAGTTCTATTCTTAAATTCCATTAATCATTACATTTTGTCATGTTATTTCAATTAAAATAATGAAATTTATGTTGAAAAAATTTTGAATTATTTGTATATATTATTTTATATTAATTATTTTTATATTCTTTTACATAAATTTATATTTTATATTAATTATAAAGTAATTACTCAAGTTTCTTTTTTTATGCTCAGACTATTAGCCTTGTTCGATTAATTAGTCACGAGAAGAGAACAATACTAAAGTAACCATTATCGCCACTATAAAATGAACGGAAAAAAGGAACGATCCATACTGAAAAGATCGGCTTTCTTCATGTGAAATTGAGAATTGCTCAATCCTATAAATTACTAGTATTCGCAGGAAATTGTATGATAATCCTACGAATTATGAGTTTCTATTCATAAACATTTATTGTTGCAAAAACTGACAAAATTCGCACTGAGACTCGTAGCGGCACCTGCGAGAAGAGATGCAACGCAATAGCACAAAGATCATTCTTTACAGTTATAGTGAGATCAGGCGAGAGGAGGAGGTGAGAAAATCGAGCAGAGGTGGGAGAGACATAAGACGCCGCTAAGAGAAGAAAGAGCGGTGCCACCTCGTGGTGACGACGACTTCTCTCTTGTCCATCTTGCTCGAGAAGAGACTTCCTTTTGCATATTTCGAGAGAAAGAATTAACGGCGAATGCAGATGCATGTTTAAAGAAAAAGAACTCAATCTCCTGTGCACGCTTTCTAAGTCGCGTTTACTTTTCAAAAGGATACGTGTCGCCTTCTCGTCAAACTAAAATATAAAATAAAAATGTTGATACTAATTTGTACTGATATGTTATGTTTTGATAAAAACTTTCGTAACCAAAAAACAATAAAAGTAAAAAAATGATGAATCAAATTTTTCTGTTAATTCTCATTTAAATTAATGTAAAAATTATGTTAAAAATTAATCTAATTCATTATGTAGCACATTATGTTTTCTTAAATGCTCAAGAATTTTCAAACACAATTTCTATCACATAATAACGCAGCATTAATATATGAAGAAAGAACCACAAAATTCCCCCATAAATAGCGTCTATAGATATATAAAGAACAATAAGCGTTTATAAAGTGTCTATAAAAGCGTCTATAAAGCGTTTATAAATATTTAAAGAACAATTTCCCAAAATTTCTTAAATATTTATTATATAAAATCAATTGAAAACTTTGAAGATTTCTGCCAATGAAAACTTTCCGAGGATTAGCCGGACATCCTATCAAAAATCACTGGTAAACTGGAGCGTAGCGGAATAACGTCGCAGGATCTGACGACGTCGGGAGTAGGGCAGCGCGAGGAAAGGCAAAAGGACGAGAGATCCGAGAAAAGTCTCTCCGATGGACAGAGCGCCGAAGAGTCGCATCCCTACCTCGGTATCTAACGTACGAGAACAGGTGGGCTCTCGCCGATCTGCTCGAGAGCGACGAGAGAGTCCCGGTCCGCCGCTTCCTGCGCTCGCACCGGTCTCCTCCGAGAGAGAGAATCGTGCTCGTGTGAGTTCGTTGGCCGACCGTCACCCGCGCGCGCCCGTTTTCCCGATCGCTATCCTGCGCTGATCGCTGGACTCTAAAAGCTAAGCGTGAATTCTGGAAACTGGATCGGAAAAGGGCACCTCAACCCGATAAACATCGACGCTGATCCGATCGCGCTTCGTCGTTCGAAAAGGAGAAAACCTGGTGCACTCGCAGTTCGAGAAATCGACCCGCGTCACCCGGCAAACCAGCCGGCAGGTGCTAACTCGCGCGTAACTCCGGTGTTAGCTTTGAGTCACAGTCGCACGACTGCTCGCGTTGGCCGGACGTGCTCACCGAATAGACAAGAGTCAATGAAAAATTGTGTGTGGAAAGTTTCCAGAATTTTGAACGATTCTTCTGCAGAGAAATTAAAAAATCTGGAGATATATCCGGAGATATCCTGAGAATTTTTTTCAAAATGGAAGATTTTGGATGGAACAGAAGATAATCAGCTGTGCAAGATCAAAAAGATTCTAAGAATATTTTCAAGTATGATTAGTGATCAGGAATGACCGTAAGAATTTAACAGAGATTTTTAAAAAGATATTTAAAAGTTTAATATTCCTCGAAAGATAAAAAATCAGCATAAATTCAATTTTTGGAATCTGTGAATCTGTTAATAAATTTGAAAATTTGAGATTCAAGAAGATCAAGAGTAGCTGTAACAGCTTAAAAATTTCCGAGGGTTATTTTTGAAAGAATCTGGATTCAGAGGATTCATCTGCGAGGAGGATCGGCAATTTGAAAGATCGACACGAAGCGGAAGTACCGTTGTCTCTCTGATGGCTCTGGGGATTCGCGGATGAACGGCCTTGACGGCACGAGCCTTGACGAGTCTCGGTCTGGTCCAAACTAGGACAACGAAGCGAGCGTTCCGATAAACGTACGGAAATCTTCTTCTTCTTCTTCTTCTTCTGGAGTAAATTTCCTCGAGCAACGAACGGATGCTCTGAGACTTTTGGTTTCCAGCATTATATACAGCAGCGGTGAAATCCGGTTTTGCATGGGTGTATACGTAAGTGAACCGTAATCCATAAGTACCGTAATGTCATGAGCATTTTCCCCTTCCCCCATGTGCATGAGAAGCAACGTTTAACATTAATAAATTCTCTTTGCGGTCCAATATAACTCTGTGGCTTCGAAATAATATGTTATTACACCTTACATTTAAAAAAAAATACATTAAAAAAAATTGACAAAATACATTGAAATATTTACATAAAGCGTCTGTATTTTTCGGAACATATATTTTTTTAGAGAATATATATCATATTTTAGACTAGATACATATATATTTATGAGAATTCGAAATAAAAGAATTCGATTTGTTTGCATAATTGTTTAATTATAATAAAATTTAATAAATAATAGTACTTTTTTAAATTTAGAATTTATCATAATTTTTTAAAATTTAATTCGAAGAATTAATTTAAAGATCAATTTTAACGTCGAATTTCTCGACGACGACTTGAAAGTTCGTTGTAAAATCGGCTCGCTGTAACGGAGAACTGCGGTTTCTATCGTACGATCCGGTTTTGCGTGCAAATCTAATAGCTGCTACTTTTCACTCGTAACGAGCGGCACGCACGTTCATGCGTATTACAAAAAATACACACTTAGGTGCAACAAATGGTGCAATGAAATAAAAAATTGCAAAAAATCGCACACACAATATTCAAAATAATTACAAGTACCAAGATAATTACAAGGCCAGATTATTTCGATCGTTATAATTTAATTCCAACAATTTAGCGATATTTATTCTTTGGCACAAATTAAGCGACATTTTTAACATATGTTTCATTTTGATAAGATAACATGCAACGTATAATTACAATATATACGTACGTATTTAATTTAACTTAAAGTATCAAGTGTTATATATTTAATATAAAAGACAAGTTATATATTTAATATAAAATGTGTTACCATAAAGATGTATAAAATATAAAATATAAAATATGTATAGGATACAAAAGATATATAGCATATAGTATACATAAAATATATCAGGAGTAAACTTTCTCCAAATAAATCATTTATTAAATTTGAAATCAATTTTTGGTGAAAGTTTAGTCAGTCGCGAAATTTTTCGATCAAGAATATCTTCATAGATACGTTTGTAGATACTTCATTTACGATTTTGCAGTTATGCTCCACTGTTTGATAGCGTATCATTCGTTTGCCGTGAGAAGAAAGGAATCACAATTATATCGTGTATCTTATTTCGGAGTGTGACGAATCGTGAGACCGTGGGTCAGTACCGAGATCTTTCTCCGCGTGTGAACGTCAAATGCTTGAAGATAAGAAAGACACTAGAGATGCTAAGATGCAATTCTCAGGCGATAATGAGATTAACGCTCTTAAAGCTTTATCTTTGATAAAGTGTCGTAATACAAGAAGCAAAAGAGAGTATCGCATTCAAAAGATATAATAAACGAAGAAATATATTATTAATTAAATAGATAATTTCAAAAATGTATTCATTTAATTCGCATTTTTATATCAATCATCATTTCTTTTATTTTTATCATATTTGTTATTCATCTTATATAAAAATAAAGTCTATTAATTCTATTTAATTTCATTACACTTTATTTCTATATTCAAGAATTATTTTTGAATACTTAAGCATTTGTGGGCATTTTTTATTTTCAACAGTTCATCTCTATTAATATTAATATTAAACATGATAAAAATTAAAACTTTAATAATATATTATTTTCAAGCGAGATTACAAGAAAATAGTTTTTATCTACTTTCTCAATCCGATACATTTGATTTGATGCGTGTCTGAAATCACCGATCCGATAATAAAAATATAACGATAGTTTCATCTACGGCTTTCTAATATTCATCATCGCCCACATACAAACTCATCGATCAATCACTTACAATAAATGTATAAAATAGAGGGATTTATCACTTATAATTAGTCGGAAGCAAGAAAGGCGTGTCAAACGTTATTCTTAATTACGTAAGCAATGAATCGACGATTAAAGCTATACATTAACGGCTCAGTTTAATCAAGATTAGATCTTCGCTTGAATATATACGTGAAGAATTCATTATCGTAATTGGCAAATACCTAAGTAATGGTAAAGCAAAAGATTTTTGAACAAATTCGAATTTTGAATCTCGAGAAAATTGTAAATTTATTTCATTCACATTCTGAATTCCATTCGCTTTAATTCCGTATCACGTAGGAATGAATTTATTTATTTTTTTCTTTTTTCGCTTTATCGTCCTTCACCCGGTTGGGCGAAAAGCGTATCGTTGGCGCGTAAAGCAACGGGATACACGTCACGGGGGAAAGGATTTGCGTGGATGGACATTTTTTCCGGGGTAGTGCCCATCACGGATCGGTGACATCGCGCTGTCATGACTATTTGTCACAATCTGCATCACGATACATTTTCATATCTATCTTCGTAAAAAGCCAAATGCTATCTTGTCTCACGCGATGTTCTGATCAAGGAGCCACAAGAATGCAGCAGACTGTAAAATCATGCTTGCATTTTATCACTGCCGTTAACGTATAGTTTTAATTAAAAGAAAGGCAGAATCAAAAGAAATATTTTCTTCGAGTCAGAAAAAGAGCATTGAGATTTAAAAATAGATTTTGATGAACTTAGGCTACGAGGTACTTGGCAAAATAATAATTATGAGACATTGGTTGACCTGCATTTAGAGAGATAATTTATAAGCTGAGAGATCTCATATTGCGAATTTCTCTTCTTGCTCGGGTCGGAAATTAGAATACATACTAATATATATACGCGCGAAGTCAAGAAGTACACTTTTGACTGAAGATTTGTCACTTTTATCGCAACTCTATAGAGACAAATTTCCTCTTACGCGATCGCGCGCACTTCTTTGCTTTCCTTCTTTCGTCACGCGTCCCAATTACGGTTAAACATACAAATTTACATAACAACATAAGTGTGACGTACACGTCCGCGATGTTGAGGTGCTCGGATATAAATTTAATGATGTCCTGTAATCATTCATTCATCTTTTCTGCTTAATATTTTCAAACGACATATTAATGTCGTAAGTTTTCTAAACATTGCAGACTGATAATACAACAGATACGAGTATATAATAAATGTTAATTAAACGTGGATAATGTAACAGTTGTACTAAAAAGATAAATATTTAATAATGCCTATTACTTTTAATCAATGTCATTCTTAATTTTTAATTCCTCGACCAATAATAAGTTAGTTTTATTCGCCTTCCACAAAAAAACGCCCTGAATATTATAGAAAGATTACCCTTCGGGTATACTTTATCGGCTTAATCGACCGCGTGAGTGCGGAATCTCGCGCTATATCGACACGCAGTTTCACTTCGATGAAACGAGAGCGACTGGGAAGCGGTGCGCGATTTCCATGTACACGGAATTATGCGAAAAAGGAGTTACGAACTCGGTGGCTTACCGTATAATCTAATTAACGCGCCAACGGTCTAACGCGAAACACTATAAATCCGGCTTTACTCTGGCAACATGCGAGAGTAAAATTTTCCCGCCATGGTTCTATAAAAGCGTGCGACACGTCGTGTTCTGAATCGTACATATCTAGCTTGTTCCCGTTTTTTGCCAATCGGAACGATCGATAAGAAAACGTCGACATTCGTTACTTCCTTCGCGCAAATCATTAAATTCGGTCTACCTTGCTTATTTTCTGTCGTGTTAAAGCCAGTGCGGAACAAAATATTTTCGATATTACGCGAAACTATCAATTATATATGTGTGATTATCGCTTTCCTTTTATAATTTCACAAATCACCGTATCGCTTTAAAATTATATCGTTACGCATGTTTATTTGAGTTTATTTAGTGAAATCAAGAATCGTTAGTAGAGTTTTGTATTTTTTGACAACTAGAAATTAACGTAAAAGAAATATTAAAAAATTGATTATTTTTTAAGTCACTTTCTACAAAAACAAAACTAAGGAAAGAGAAAATCAAAATTAATAATATAATAAATATGTAAATATATAAAACCTAATAAAAAATGATAAAAACTCTGAATTAAGTAAAACAGCAATTTTTCTCTATCTTTTTCAGACTATTTAGCTATTCCATAATTGCTTGAAATAGGATATAAATTCCTGACCTAGCGTAAAAATTGCATAGGAATATTAATCACTATCTGCACGCTTCTACTTTCGCCTTATTACAAGCTGCTTACATATGCAAGGTCTCCAAATAATTGCATCTTCTCGTAACAATAACAATGTTCTCGCGACGTTCGCCGAATCATCGGAGTTTTTCTTCTTCTCTCATGAAGTAAACTCTTCTGGCAAACGCGAACGAGGTCAGTCACAGACTTTTGCGCAACCATAGGTAATCGCTATTAAGCAACGAGTATTATCGCGAATTCGATAAATGCAATCTTTCTCTCTGAGTTGAAATATGTTGGGTTATATTGAAGATATAATAAAAATAAAAATAAAATAGAGACTACAGATATTTCTATTAGCGCGTAATAAGAAAGATTGTTTTCGCGATAAATTCCACGAGTTAGGATCGAAATTTTTTTTCTAATTAATCTACCGCGATTAAACGCCAATCGAATAGTTCTAATCGGTTTTTGCTTATCCCGATATACAGCAAGAGACCGGCAAGCCTCCTCCCCCTAATGTCACCCCGAAGATGGCCAGGGATCGCGCCGGGTCAGACCACTCAGGTCACATGAGCGACACTACCACGTGCAGCTGCGTCACAAGTTCCATCGAAAAGGCAAGAATATTGATTTTATGTTCAAATACTTTTATTATAATTGGCGATTATCGAGCAAAAAGATATAAAAAATATACAATTTTCCAATTTATCTTATTTGATATAAAGTATAGATATTTATCATATATATTTTTGCTAAGAAATAAGAAATTTGCTACGAAATAAGAAATTTTCCAATATCAGGATGCTAAGACAGAATTTGCTTTATGATTGTATCCATGATATTTATATGATTGAAACTTAGAATTCTCATTTTATTTTTATTTTCTTTATTTCATATATATGGAATTTATTATAAAATATATATACTCAAATATATATACCAAACCATAATTATTCCACCATAAAAGCAAAATTTCAAAGTTTATAAAAAACATGTTGCAGTGTTCGCTGCGAGGCTGTAGGATGTTGCAAGAACCGTTCTTCCTGCATCCACCAGGTTCTCGACCACGGGACGGCATCTACATAAATCCCATGAGCGCGTATATCGGCGAGCCGACCAAGCCCAAGGACACGGGCGAGTCCTTCTACCTTCACAGCCCGCACGATCTCGTCTATACCAGGATCACGCGACTGTTTGGCGATGCCGAGAAGCAGCGGAACGGCGTCGCGGCGGATCAGCGTCATGTGGCAGAGAGGAAAGACGATACTCTGACTGGTAAGTAGCACGTCCCAGATATTTCATTGCTACGTTGTAATGCGATGCACACGGTGTCCAGGAAGTATGCCTAGTGTTATCGAAAGTGAAAAAGCATCGCATGATTATTTGAATTTATTATTAATTCTTTGGTTACATTTATTATTACTTCTTAAGGTGCAATTTCATTGACGCTACTTTTCAATGAAATTGCACCTTTAGATATAAAGTGACTGGCAAGAAGTTCTTAAAGCTTAGCTATTATATAGTTATCAAAAATGTGAAAATTCAAAGATACTTTTTGATCAAATATATTATGCGATTCGAGTGCAAAGAAAGATGAATTCCATCGAATTATTTATAGATGAGACGAACTGAGACGACGTGTAATTCTGGCGCACTCTGTGTGCTCTGTTGAGTCTCGACAACTGCTTATGGCTCCAGGGCGACCTCAATTCGCATCCAATGTTCGGCATTGATCTCTCTATCTCTCTTTGTTTCGTTTTTCCTCAGATGATATTTACAAAGTCTCGCATTCGACTAAGCAATGTTGAAATCATTTGCCTTCGTTGTTCCCACTTCATATAAGAATAACATATTGATTGATCGAACTTCTAAGAAGCTAGGTTGTTTTTCTCGGTAAAAAACATTATTTAATAATCAAATATAAAAACTATACACAAATCGACTATTTGCAATAGTTTCATGTATCTGAGAACTTGAAATAAATCAAAAATATCTTTCCCATCCATTTTATTTTACGGTAAATTTGATCGCGAGTTTTACGAGCGACGTATGATTAATGTGAGCAAAATTTCGCGGGATTTGTCTCGGGAAAAGAGAGAAGGAGAGATACTTGGATAATTGTCGGAGGAGCGAAAAAAGCTACACGCGTCGCAAACTACACGCGCGCTCCGCGAAACCGGGTTAAAGACTCGCGCGCGATTTACCGCGGATACCGTTAAGCCGTTACAGTGCAGTAGCTTTTAATGAGTAAGAGTAATAAGCCCGATCGGCGAACTGATCGAGGTGGGTCTCGTCGCGAAATACACAATAGTTATCGATTAGACAAACTAAAATCAACTTTTATAAAAAATTTCGTCAAAATTACATTTTTTGATAAAATAATCGATCAATCGATTTTTATCGCATTTTAGCTTCGCTAAAAATGGAATTTTTGTAAAACTTTTGGAATATGATGTTTCGCATGAGAGGCAACAGCACGCCTCGTCGTTTTGCGTTTTCTCGTGTGCGATGCGTATATTCCGAGCGAGGCTTTGGCTTTCAGTGAAAGTGGACGTGCACATCAACAACAACGGATTCGTCGGCAAGCCGCATCCCAGTAACGGACACGCAGCCCGCTCTTCCGCGGACCTCGCAAGAGAGCCCTCGGAACACGCTTACGAGCAGATCTGCGTGAGGCAGGAGGAAACGAGTAGCGTGAGCTCGTCACGCAAAAAACCGACAGACAATGCCTCCGACAGCAGGTAACACAGTTTAAGCAAGTTTAATTCGCAAATGAAGTCAAATCAGAAGATTCGACTCAATATTTGTAATCGTTATTTTAAAATTAAAATTAATCTAAATTTAAAAAACTTTCTCGATTATGAAATTAATTTTCTGGGAAAGAGATAGCTGGACCATTGACAGAGATGACAGAGAGACGTTAATGATACAGTTAATATAAAAGAGAGAAATTATAGATAAAAATTTATAGATAAAAATAAGGTATAAGATATAAATATACTATTCAATATTGTTTTACAAGAATTATTGCATAAAGATTTGCTTGATACAGCAAGCATGTTTTGTTAACATGAACACAATGTTATAAATATCGTTCTCAATATCATGAATCGCGTGCTTGCAAGGAGAGAATTAATGAACGTAGCATAACAAAATTATATCATTTGGATTACAAAAATAAACATTTTGATAATATCAATATGTAAAACGATATGTGACGAAATCAAAATTGTGTATGTATGTATGACTTTTTAGTCAGAAAGAGAGATCATTCATTTGTAAATATCGTAAAGAGAGAGCGATGATATCGTCATTTTTCGCGCTTATCGCATATCTCGAAGATAAACGGTCGAATGCGATTAGATGTGGATAGATATTAAATTTAATCTCCGGAAATCTCTTATAACCGAGAGCACGCGCATCGACAGATTTTTTCTGATTGTTTTATTTCAGTCGTTCCCGAAAAGCCGATAGGCGATATAGTCGTTCCAGCAGCGCCAGCGAATCCTCGAACATGAGCAGCGAGATCCATGGTTTGTCTTCGACGACATCCACCCCGTCTTTGTCACGACACAGCAGCAACGAGCGAATCGGCAAGCCAGGGAGTAAAACGAATGCGGAATCGTCTCATGGTACGTCAAAAATCGAAAGTAGCTGCAGTTAATCCAATGACAAAGATGTGTGATGTGATTTTAAGAAAGTGAAACTTTCTTCAATTTTTAAAAGCGATCTACCAAAGAATACAAAGTGAAAGACATTGTGTATCCTCTTTGGAGAAAGTATATTGAGAAATCGATATCGATATTAATTTATAAATTAAGAGATAAAAAGAGAGAAAAAAACAATAATTAGAGCTAATATTGTAACTACCTTGTAGAATATTAAATCGGTCAAAGAAACGGGCGCTTGTGATTAATCATCTCTGTTCTCGGTTTGCAGAAAGGAAGGACTTGCCCAGTGTGCAGGTGGAAAGTGAAAAGGAGATACGTGTGAGTGGCAACGGCGGACCTAGGTAAGTAGGGCGGATCGATACCGGATTGAGATTTAGCTTTAGCCGCATCGTTAAGAGAAGGATGAAAGATCGATCGAAAGTCGATCGAGTGGCTCGCCATCATTCGCGATTCGACTCACTTTGTCCCTTTTCTTCGTTCCTTAACTTTGTTGCTGCCTGTCTTGAGACATCGCATGAATAATGAAAGGATGACCGCTTTCTGACCAGCAATAGTTTGTGATCGTTAATGCACCGGTAAAACGAAACGAATAATCGCGATAATGATTATCCGGCGGATATTAAATCGATTATTATCAACCTCAGAAAATTAGAATAAATATCTTCTCTCGAAGAAAAAAGATTAAAGCTATTAAAGTGAAAAGGAAAATGTTTCTGTCATTTTTCCTGTCTTTATTTAACCATTTTCAATGTTTTCTACTTCTTTTATTATCTGTCTGTTATTAAGCGCATGTATTTATTATTCTATTAATTATTCTTCTCTTTATTTATTTTGTTTAGAGATAATAAAATATAATTTAATTTTCTGATTTTTTGTTCTATCATATTTTCGTCATTTCTACTTCTTATTAGAGCCTATCAACTAATAATAATAATATTAATATTGTTAATCGACTAATAATAATAATATTAATATTGTTTTATGTAATTTTCACAAATACTATATTAAAATCAAGAAATTTCTGTTTTTTAGTCTCTCAAAACCACCACCACCGCCGCCTCCACCACCGCCAGACGATGACATGATAGTCGTCCTGGTAAATGCCAAACCGAATATAGATACAAACGCTGATAAAAAAGACGCGCGAGGAAGCAGCCAGGACGGAAGGAGCGAGTCCTCTGGTAAGGAATCATGATCTCTCTCTGAGTCCTTTCGCTCCCTTGCACGAATGCTGCGTGAAAGTTGCTTTAAAGCTTGACTTTAAACACGTATACTTATTAATAGCCTGACATTTCCGCTCATGTTTATTGCGCATTTAATTCGAGTTTGTCTAATGAGAGATTTGCAATCGAAAGAGGATGCACGTTACTTCCGGAATATTTTTATAAACGTACTTATCGATAATTTAAAAACTAATGATTATAAAGATTTTTTTAAATAACTCCAATTAAAAGGACGCAACTGTAGTTTCACTTTACTCGCAATAATCGTGAACGGATCCTTTCATTAAGCGAAAAGAAGATTGTTCCTGCCGAAAGCTCGTCTCGAGAGATCACGTCGCGCACGAACGATTTTATTGCCAATCGATGTTTAATGACTACCGGTTGTTGCAAAGGCTACCTAAAGATTTTCTCGATAGATTTTGTTTAATGAATGGATTCGTTTTAATGACGCTATTTGCAGAATACATTGTCAGGTTTAGAGTTTGTCATCGATTCTTAACATTTCCGGAAATTTAATAATCCTCGCTAATTAATTTTTGTCGGAGAGAAGATCGAGTTTCTGAAGTTGATGCATCTATCTACCAGGAAGTCGTACGCGCGTTAGATTAAAAATTTATAATCTGCACTGCATTACTGTGTCTTTATCACGCCGTTAATCGCCCGATGATCGGCCGGCCGTGTTGACTCGCGCGAATTGCGCTTATATTTTCGGCGCATTCCTCCCGACACGCTTCGATGCATTCACGTGACGTCGTCGAGCGAGCAATTAACGAGAATCGACTAAGCAGCGATTACAGTTAGCGAAAATTAATTCACCCGATGTTTATCTGCGGGTCTAATTAGACCGACTCGAGATTTGGCGCGAGGGGCGACGGCGGGGCCTCGTCCCGTCGATCTCGATTTGGGATCGCTGCGCCCCGTACTTTGGCGGTTAATTAAACTGTTAGCGGATCACGCTTAACGCCGAGATAGTCCGCTCACTTACTAGACCATGGCGCTCATCGGGCATATAATATACTTACCTAGATTTCACTTGCCCGCGTCGGTAACGACCATCTCACCCAATGCAAGAGAATATAACGAGGACCCACTCTCCCCCTCTCTTTTCGCCTACCTACCTACCTCCTTTACCTCTTACACCCTATCGCTCTTTCTCTATCTCTCTTCCGTCCTATCTCTCTTTCTCTAATACCACCGGTCTCGGAACAGCGACCAACAAGTCCGACGTATCATCCTCCGGCGAGCATCAGCAGCAGCCGGAAGTGCCACCTCCAGCCAGTGCGCCGGTGGATGCGGACGAAATTAAAGCGAGTCAGGCGTCCCACCTGGTAAACAGGCACATGGTGCTGCCGTTCATACCGCCCAAGTTCGCCAACGCGGACTCCAACACTCTGCTGAAACCATCCGAATACCTCAAGAGTATCTGTAAAGGGACGTCCAAGAACAGTTTGTCGAAGGCGAGGTCAGTGATCTTTTCTGTCATATACAACGGTTACTTCCGTTTGTTTCTCTGTAATCTTTTGCGCGCAAGTTGCTTCGAGAAATAGCAAAGATCATATCTCGTTGTTTGAATAATTAAATTGATTTCAAAATTGCGATTTAAATATTCCACATGTGATATACATCTAAAGAATATTTATAGAGCATCGTTTCTTATGTATGACTCAAGTAAACGAAAAACAACGATGTTATTTCATCTATTTCTTAAAAACAGCATGGTGATTTAAATCTCTGATTCAAGCGGAGTTTAAGCGGAGTTTAAGCAGTGTTTCATCCACAGAATTCGTATTACTTAATCATATTCGTAATTACTTAATCCATCATTTTACAGCGTATTATATGCAGTTTGTAAGCAGAAAAAAATATATTGATAAAAATATAATATTGTTACTTATTGTAATTATGATTTATCAATTCAAAAAATCTTCGTGTATTTAAAAATCAAATTTTATTTTACGATTGAGAGATACCAACAATTAAAGTTTTTTTCAAGAGTTTTGTAGAAACTCACGTGCGTGTTTGATCTTTTGATGATACATATAGAAACATAAAAATAGTTATAATTAAAATAATTATAAGTCATAATTAATGTTCTTCAGAGGAACTAATTTTTACTTATTAAAACAAAATAATATTTTCTTAAAAATTTATAAAATTAATATATATATATATATAAAGTCTATATATTAATATGTATATAATGATGTCATTAAACAAAATAAATTCAAATTTTACAGCTCTTCTCTTGAATCTATCTTATACAAATGAAAACGGATTTATATCTTCGAGCAGCGCTATTTTCAAATTTTCTACTCGCGTGACGATGCGAAAATCACGTTCGCAGGTCAGTGGACAACTTGGACATTCAGAGTCGGAATACGGAGCCGCGAGAAGAGGAGGAGGCGGACGAGGGAGAAGAAACGCGAAGGAGCAGCGAGGAGGTCAAGGGGTCTCCTACGGGCCCCCCGCCACCACCGTTGTCTCCTTTGCAGCAGAGAGCACGAAGTGTGAATCAAGGCTCGAATTCCACCAGTACTGGCAACGAGACCGAAAGCTCCAAAATCCCGCAACCCTTAGCCACGATCAGCATCCAGGACCTCACGAGTATCCAGCTACGACGAACAGGCACAAAGATGAACGCTACCAAGACCTTCTCCGCTCCGCCACCGCGCAGCGTGTCTATGACTAACGGTAAGTTAGTCCGCGCACGACACACATGTACATATAATTTAATGCCTTAACGACGAGATTTCAAGCTCACGCTCAAAGACCTGTGTTTCATATCATATTAAAAAGACATTTATCTCATTGTCAGAGCAATTTCGAAATTATCCTACATATAATATGTATTTCCTATTTAAAGATAAACAAATATATTTTCACAATGATTATGTGTAATAAATCCTTAAATTTCGCGAAATTTATCAAATAAAATTACTATACTTTCTTGTAAAATTAAAAAATGAAATGAAATTACAGATAAATTAACAAATAAATGTAAATGAATTATTCATGTCATAACGAATAAATCTAAATGAATTATTCAGTTTCGGAGCCATTCTTCGTGCAAAAAACGGACTTGATTGCCGAATTGAAGCGCACCAAGGACATACCAGGTATCAAAAAACTAAAAGTGGAAAGGGCTCAAGTCGAGAAGACTCAGGAGCAGAATCTCATGTCGGAAATCAACAAAGCATTTAACGTTACAAACTTCGTTGATCAAGTAAGTATTTTACTTTATTCTTTTCAGAAAACATATATATATATATATATATATATATATATATATATGTATATGTGAGAAATAGTATATGTATATGTGAAGAAATATCTATTTTTCTAGACGTTTGTTTAATTTTTTGCTGAAGAATCTTTTTATAATTCGCTGTGAAGTCCCAAATTGCTGATTTTTTTATACAATATTTTTGTAGATTCCAGAAAAAGATAGTTCGGGAAATATAATACCAATTTGGAAGCGACAAATGCTTGCTCGAAAAGCGGCCGAACGAGCGAAAAAGGAACTCGAAGAGCAAATAGCGCGAGAGAACGAAGAGAGGCGGCAGAAAGCGATTCCACCGTGGAAGCGACAACTTCTCGCCAAGAAAGATAACGAGGAAAAGAGGTACAGAGATTAATTAGATTTAGATAAAGTCGAAATTGAAATAGTTCGCAGAAATGCAAAACATCTTTACTGTTCCCGACAAAATTTCATTCGATGCTTTTCAGAAGAGATTTACTTCACGTTAATTTATGTGGGATTTAGTCCTACCTGCTTTTAAGGTATATAGGGAGGCTAAGTGCTTAAATTATCGCAAGTATTACAATTGCCCCTTGTTGCAATTGACCTTAAGTTCCTCTGCCTCGTGTTACATGCAAAATTACGCAATGTACGCTGTGATATTATATACGTAAATTAAAAGATTGACCAGTCAAAGCTATTGAGCATATTTGTTCATGGAAAAATACGTTATTATTCGATGACACGTCATTATTCAAAATATTTTGAAGCTTTTCAAATTTTGAACGAAAAAGTAGCAATATCAAGAATCTCTAATTTGCATATAATATTTTTTTTACATTTTATTTTTTCTTTGTTATGTTATTTATTACATGATTTTGTTTTAACAATTTTATTTTATCATTTTAATAATTTTTAACATATTAATGTAAGAAATTTTCAAGCCTCATGTTAATGGTTACAGACTGAACCAGACAGCGCCCACGTCGACATCGAAGCTGGAAGTAACGACGACGAACCCGAAGAGGGATCTCTCGCCGGTATCGTGCGTTACTAAAAAGGAAGAAAAATCTGAGGCCGAAGAGAAACGCGACGATCCTGCCAAGGACGATTCCGACGACGGTCAAATTATACCTTGGCGGGCGCAATTAAGGAAGACCAACAGCAAGCTTAATATTCTTGATTAATCATCGAGCGTTAAAAATGCTTCTTTCGTTTTTTTTTAAAAGTGCGCGTTATGTAAGTATTCAGCTAAAAATATTTGTTGTTAAACGTATGTTAACGAAACTTATACAAGAAATAAATGTGAGAGAAAGAGAGAGAGAGAGAGAGAGAGAGAGAGAGAGAGATTTTTTGCTAGTTGAGATATAAACGAACATATAATACGGTTCACGGAATTATATAAAATAGGAAGTGTGTTTGGTATTCTCTACAAGACTAGCACGTACTGATATAAATATTTTAAAAAGGAATTGAATGGATATTTTTATATACTTATTGTGTTTAATATCGTTGCAAAGACACTATCAAAATATTCTCGTTTATAATTAATATTATAAATTTGAATTTATCTTTTTTTTTTACGGAAACTGCTAAAGCATAGCGGAGTTTAATGTACATTTCAAATTGTCTAAAGAGAAATCTTCAAAGAAATTATCTCCCGCAAAATAATTCCCCCTCAAATTTTTCCTCAAATCCATAAAAAAGACAATCTTTGAAAATACATTTATTGAAATATTGCTCTCAAAAAATATTGTGCAAATATTTGATAAAATACATCAAGAAAAGACGAAAATTATGTAAAGAATTGATCATTGTGTCTTAAGTTATGTAATATGAATTAAATGCGATATATGTACATACAAATAAGTCTTATAATTTCATTTGCATAAATAAAGCTTAAAGCAAAACCTAAGTAATTAATTTTAATCCCACTCTTAAAAGCTGGAAAAAAAATATTAAAATTCCCTATTTAGTTTAGCTACTACAATTTTACTTTTTTGATCACGAGTTAGTTTAATCTAATGAAAATTCTTTCCTTACTTTAATTTTATTTTCCTGAGTTTTATATATGTGTATATATATTTTAATTCGAAAATCATTTTAATATTTAATCGCCAAAAAATTTATGAAATTTCATAGAAAAGTAGGTATGTCTAATTCAAAAAACAATTGGTGAATCTAGATTTGATTAATCGTATGAGAAAGAGAAATATTAGTAGTAGCGATAAATACGGCTGATAATAACTAGTTACAGTCATTAGAAGCTACATCAGCGAATTAATATTGACATTGATTAATCACTACAACGTAATAATAATGTCGGAAGAGTTACAATATGTAGTTCCAAACAATAATTATCTTCCGACATTCTGTAAAGATTTATCTCTTTGTGAAATATATATAACAGAGCGAAGAACGATTACGAGATATTTTAAGCATGGAATTATACTAACCCCTTAACTTTGAAATATCGTTGTTGCGAAACCGCGATTATAAGAGAGAAATTATCTAGTAAATAAAATATACTTTGATACATATATAACATCTGTCTAATTAATTAATAACTTATTGAAATTATATTGTGTGTTTATGTACACACATATATGGACTGTTCGATAAATAAACTAAACGAAAAGAGAGAAAAATAACAATTATTTATTAGTTATTTTTAATTAAATAAAAGATTTGTAAATATTAAAGTAGTAAGTAGAATATTTTCATAAGTTTCAAATGAATTTCAAATAAGACTCGAATGAGAACGAAAAAATAATTTATGGTTTCTCTAAAATTACTTAGAAAAAGAATACATGGATTTGAGAGACAAAAAAATACAGAGTTTCAGACAATGTTTACAAATATTCAAGGATTGATCTCCCAGTGTCAATCTTTGCAAACTGTCTTCTTTTTTCTTGAATGATTTTTATTCGCATAATGGGATGTATCTTCCTCTAATGTAATGGAAAGCATTTCTCATTAGAAAGAATCCACGTGCCTGAAAACATCCCTTTTCCAGATGTGAGATAGATTGTAATAAGGGTAGGTAAAGCAGTTGATAGGGCACGTCTTTTCAGCGGCATAACGAACAAAGCACGTCATTATATACAGACGCGTGTGCTCTTGTGACGTGCGTGGTCGTGCCTCTCTTTCTCTCTCTATCTCTTTCCCTCTTCTGTTTTGCCTCCATCGTGCGTAGTCTTCGTTACGACACCGAGGAACGTTAGAACGACGCGACCCGCAGAAGACGTCGGTGTCGCAACGCTGACGCTCTTGACGGGCCTCCTCTTTGCCATCCTTGTCTTCGGAACAACAAGTAGCGACTCGCAGCTGAGATTTTGGCAACATTACCGAAGCAGAGCGCAAACAGTTAAAGCATAGCGAGCGAACGAGGGAGTTATCGTGGCCAGAGCGCTCTCTTGTACGAAATTCTCAGTCTTTTTGGAAAGTTTTATGGGATTGGAGGCTTGTGTCATAAAAATATAATTCAGATGATATAATTATTTACGCATGAAAGTGAAGAGCTACGGCCGTAAAGGATATATTGTGTATAAATAATAAAGAAGCAAGATAGTAGCAGATTTTCGAAATAGTGCACTGAAGTCATAAGAAAGAAGAAAACTGGTCGAACTGGTGCACCTCTTTTAGTGAACGTGCTTAATTTGTAAAACAAAGATTGACATACTAATAAAATGGCATCCAATCGCAGAATGTTAAAGGGTAAGTCAATGATTGAGGGGCGAAAAGTTAAATAGATAAAAGATTGAATTATTATCATTATATATTTAAAAACATAGAGGAAAGAACGATCTAATTTAACATATAAGTAAATAACGAAACAAAATATAGATTGTTAATATTTAAACTAATTAAAAGGATCAAATTCAATTCAGTTCTAATAAAATGTAGCATCTAATTGCTGAGACATAGGAATATATTGATTTAAAAAATTTTGATATTTCTTTCCTCTATAATTATGCATTTTCAATAAGATAAGATAAATATGAATGGAAATAAAAGAAATGTATATGTATACGAGCTTCGCTAAATACATAATCGTTTAAAGTAATTGTTATATAATAAAGACAGAATTGTTGCAAATATATGGATATGATTAATTAAAATATTGTTACATTAACGCAAAAAAGAAGCAAGCATAAACAATTAGCAAAGAATAAAAGTAATCTTGAGTAGAATTGATATTTGTCTTTGTGTGTTTCGTGTTATTGTCGTGTCTGTGTATTTTGGGAATTAATATATAAAATATTTACAACTCAATGTTTACATCTCATCGTGTATGTTTATATATCAAAATACATAAAAAGATCATATATTGTATGCTTTTAATTACAAAATATATATTGAAATTTCCTAAGATCTAATGATAATGTATTATCATAAAGACATATATATAAGTATAAACAATTAGTATATCGCATGATTCATTTAATCGTATTTAAAATTCTTACATTACTCTTAATTTACAAATATTATTCTACTTTAATATTTGACATAACATGTTTGTTAGATCTCAATCCATAAATGTAAGAAAAGATTTCGAAATTAATTTCATTAAATTATCCCTATCATTAGTACAGAAGATTATAATTGATTTAAGCGATTGTGTTTGTTTTATGTGTTTTATGTTTTTTATTTTTTGCATGTATGACGTTTTAATGAATAACACTGCCAAACTGTAACAATTTTTTTAAAGATCTTATCGTCCATAAATATTAATAAGAATTATTTGATAAATGATGGAATTGCTTCGTTTTTTTTCCAATATAGAAAGAAAAAATTATTTAAGATTTAATCAAAGATAATTAGAGATAATAAGAATTAAAGATAATAAGAGATTTTATTTTATTATTACATTTCTTAAAGCTCAATAACGATAAAAGAGACAAATCTAGTATTTTCATCTATTTTTATTTATGTAAGATAAGGTTCAAATGGCTCCGTTTAGCTCTTATAGAAATATATAGCTCTCTAGAAACATATCTTAAACATTAATCGGAATTTTATTGTAACGTTTACAAAAATGATCTCCTTTTATAATAGTTGAAAATGAAAGTTTTAGAATTAAAACTAAATTATTTAGACGCAAAAAGAAGAGCAGAAACATATGAATATGTGAGATGTTATTGTAATCTTATAAATATATAATACATATTAAATTTATTTGTATATAAAATATATTTTTTTAACATTATTATATTAGTATATCATATTAAATATTTTTTTGACATTATTATATTTTTCTAAGAATATTATTTTTATTTTAAAATTTTTTTCTGCGAAAATACAATCTTTCTGAAAAAAAAGAACAGATTTTAAGTGTGGATAGGACTTTAGTCGTGCGCATATCCCACGACAGACGGCAATGAACGCGATTTCCGCTTAGGCGTTAATGTATTCTTACATTACAAAAAGACATAGTAATTTGTCAAGAATACACATAATTCAACAAAATTACTTAAATTAGCGAATGAAAGTTATCAAAATAATAAAAAGCACTAATTTCTTAGAAATCGTTTTCTTTCTTATAATTGATGAATATTAACTCTAAAAATAAATATTATCTTTTAATGATATGTTAAAATATATTAATGCAAAAATATATATCTCTCTTATCAAAAAATATGAAATATAACTATTATATTATTTTTATTTATGTATGTTATTATTTGCTCGATTAAAAGAAATAAGATAATAATGCATCTAAAAATAAATAAAAATAATATAATAATAAATACTATATAATATATTTAAAGAAATAATGATAATTTACTGATTGTTTTGATTTTCTAATTTGTTCTTAAAATATAAAATATATATGCAAGTAAAATAAAATTTAGAACAAGAAAATTTGGAAAAATGTTAACAATTTATTAGTATTTTTTTTATCTAGCATATATGTATAGAGGAAATGATCATGCATCATATATAATCTATGATTTCTAAATGAAATTTCCATGAAATATAAATACATCTGTGAATATAAAAATTATTCGCGAGTATTCTTTGCCCCGAACCTTCGACTGGATGCTTCTGGGGTTAATATATGTCATCGATAACGTTTGCGTATCATCGACAGACGGCAATCGTACGAATTAACAGTCGTTTATAGTCCATGATGATGTACCAGCTTTTAATCTCCATCCAATGAGAATTCGTGTAACGACATCCGAAGATAATACCGTCTGCATTATTAAACTCGAGTCTTGACCCAAATTCATGTTTCCGATCGTTTAAAGTACGAGTCATCAAACTCGGGTTTGAAGAGCACGCAGGTAGGTTATTTCAGACCTACGCGAAACGACGAGATGCACCGGATATAAATAGCTTGCCGGAGAACGTGTATCGAGTTCTGGGTGAAGGTCATGATAGCGCCTGTAGGATGACGAACGAAAAACTATTAATGTAAAGATGCGTTTCCCAAGTGTAACATAAAACAAAAAAAATCATATTGAATAATAATCTATTAGCAATAATTTTCTAAACTTTTGTAACTTATTGTACATATATATAATTTGTACCAGTTAAATTGTTTTGCGCCAATTTTTTCAATACTACCACTAATTTTTCCGATTGTTAAAACTGGCGTCATACTATCCACTGTAGTACGAGTCTACGCCATCAAGTCAAGTCGGCTTGATGATCAAGTATAAAGGTGGTCGTAAAAATTGTAATTAACGACACCGTGACATTTAAGTTGGACGATAACGCATGAATCAAGATATTATTAATATTAGCATTCTATATATATTTATAAAACATAATATAAATTCATGAAGTATTTATTATTAAACGAATGAGAATGATAAAACAGATACTGCAGATTGCTTGTTATAAAAAAACGATGTTATTGTTTCTAATAAATAATATTGACATAATATTATTTATTTTAAATATTAATTATATATATATATATATATATATATATATATATATATGAGTAATATAATGATGGAAATAAATTTTCTTATTATATTAATTTTGATGTCATTTTGATTAATTTGATAATATGATGTAAAATATCCTCTCTTTCTCATTAAAATTATACATTAATGATCAAAATTAATAAACTCATGGATTGTGAATTATCCAATTATAATTAGTTTCAAAGTTTGACTGACTTCACGGATTTATCTCTGTCACGTATATCATAAATATCTTTTATTAACGATTACAATTTTTCATTATGACTTTAATTAAATTCAACACGCATATTCATCGTGCAATTGCATTATCATCGTGGCCATTTTACATTTATTATCAATGGATATTTAGACTCGATAAATTTGAAATATTAGAAAAACGCCACATATCTCTTGCATTATAACTATTGTAACTCCCAATTGCCACATGAGGGAGTGTAATAGTCGTAATGATGGTCAAGTGGATAGCACGACATGCGAAACAGGCAGACTCTTGATTCGCAAGCATTATTAGCTTTGACTAGATTTTTAAATAAACATTCCTCTTCAATTGTCCGAATCATATCTATTTTCTCGTCTATTTTATGCAATTCTACGTATACATATATAGCCAAAATAAATAGAAACATATGATTAATATAATAGAAAATATGAAATAGCATACAACTAATAACGTGTTAAAACAGTCAATTGCCTACTCAGATCAAAAAAGGAATTCATGGAAATGGAATTTTACAGATGTCAATCGATATATAAAGATATAGGTTGGTTAAAATGAAAACACAAATATACATAATAAATAGACGATCATTTCTAATCAGTTTTGTCATCGTTGTCATGGACTAGCATTAGTAATAGCATAGTAATAGCATTTTCTCATGCAATACGAGCGAATAAATAATATAATTCATTCGCCAACGGAAACAGGTTTTTTTTAACAAGTTAAATTTAACAACATAATTTACCACTAAAATTAGGAATATAAATAAAACTCACAGGAATGGTTTGCGTTATATTAATAGAATAAATAATAAATATTAATATAATAAATAAAAATCAAATAAATTATTTTTTTACCATAAAAATATGAAAATTAAAAAAATTACAGTAATATAAATAATTGTAAATATTTATCTATTTTACATGCACGTAACATAGATAAACATAATTCTTGTAAGCCGTGAATTTAGAATGTATTCTCAATTATCTGAACGTGCTTTTCACTTATCCATCTTTTATCAGTCGAACCAGTAATAGTAACAATAGTAAAAATAGTAAAAAATAGCTACTGTTTAACTCAGTAGTAAGTCTCACATAAAAATGCGAAAGACGAGGTGACTTTGAGGAGAACGAAATCGCTAAAATCGATTGAATCATGTACTAAGTGATAAAAATGCATTTGCATGCGATTTTGTTCGACCTTCCTTGGTTACGTCAGATACGGTGGTTATAACATGACATTACATTGACAATGTTGGCGTATGTCTGTGGCGATGAATGTAAATTTAATTCGCAAATTATTCGTGCCGACTCTTTGTAAATGTTGCGTTTACGTACTTTTACGGCTTGAGAAGTTCTAATTGTTCGTAGATTGATGACCATTTGCTTTCATCATTTGAGACAAACATGTGTTTTATAATTATGCATCGTTGAAATCAACGTATTTGTCGCTTGTTTTTGCGCCAATTTTTTCAATATTACCACTAATTTTTCACGCTTCGCTGTAATAATTAAATGCGTCAAGACAAGTAAATTGATGTAAGAAATGCTGATTTTAATCCCGTTATAAATTTTTAATAATACGTCCATCCATTGTTAAATCTTACAGATAAAAACTAATAATTTCCAAGATGAGAGATAGGAAAATCCACGATTCGTGGAATCACAATTCATGTAATTACGATTCCATCATCGATTTCTTTAAGTTGCGAAATGAGCTTTATTGTCAATCTATGATATTATACGAAAATCATAAATCGATCATCGTTTTCACAATGAGAAAAATATCAGCTTTCAACTAGGCTAGTTAAAGTAGGCCAAAGAATCGTCATTGAAATTTCATTCATATGCGCTGGAATTTGTTATACAAAGTACATGATGATTCATTGTTCGTATACTGAGGTATTGTATATTTGTACGATAACCTCTGACTGAAATTCGCGATAAGCAAAGCCGACTTGTCACGAGAATTGCATAGGTATTGCAAAACGAACGATGCAAGATCTAATGCTGAACAGACTATTAATATCGAGAACGAGGTACGTCTGTGCGTTGCAACTAAAGTGCGGACTTATGCGCTACTTTTTGCGAGCTTCTTCCAACTTGTTCGATCTATTGACGTCGAACATTTCGCAAAACTTGGAACTTCCGCACCCCACATGCACGTGGAGAAAATTGGCTTACTCGCGTCATTCTTGAAATAATTTCAGCGATCTGCCAATGAACGTGAAAGTTGTCGAGCGGCAGTCATGGTCGAGGTCCGACATCATCTATATGACAATTCATTAAAGCAAAACAGACACGAGCTGATGACTCGTGTGAGTTGGTATAATTGCGATGCACTTCAAATTAATGTATTCCGTTCGCGATTCGCGAAAGACGCTAGGATAATAATTCGAAATTTGTGATAAAACATTCGTGATAAGAAGTGATATGATCTTTCGCGCGTCAACATCCGGAATTTCCAATGATGACCTCGAGATGAGTCATGATATGCTATGGTGCAACAAGATTGATAGACCGAAAATATACATTGTCGCGTGCATCACGCGCATATGCATTACGTAAAAATTGTTTACGCTTAAGACATGTGACGCAGATTACGTCAACTGTACATATAATATACGTTAACATCTTATTTTCGATCAAATACAACAATTTTAAAAATCATAGAATCAAAGACGAAACAATGATAATGTAAATAACTTAAATCAACAGCATTCAAAATGGAAATAAAGGAAACTCTAATCTTTTTTTTCGATTTATAGTAATTGTGTATTAAATAATATCTATAAATTATATTGTAGATATTAATTAATATATAAATTATTATAATTTTTAAAATATTTAAATATTATTAAATAAAATGGTTTAGAAAACTAATTATACATTTGGAAAATAAATGAAAAAATACAGAAAAAAAATCGTAATATAATTAATTCAAGAAATTATTACGGATATAAAAGGATATTATAGAGAGAGAAAGAGGGAGAAAGAGAAAGTTATAATAATTTTATAATACAAAAATTTTATGCAAGCAGACTAGTTTTAAAAAGAATTAAAAATTTTAATGAGAATTATAAAAAATTGGTCCAAAATAATCAACTCTATTGATGTTCGTATTAAATGTTCGCTTTTATATAGATAATTGTAAAATAAATATGTATTTTATCTTTTATATCACCAAAAAGCATAAATATTTTATTTTGAAATTACCCCATAAAGAAAGAAATCAGAAAGAACTCAAATCCAGCATTACTCTTGCATTAACTCATCTCATCGATCGAATGTTCGCAATCGATTTAGAGTCACAATAATGACCGGAAATGCGTTTGTGCAGATTGTCTCTCATGCAGGCAGGTGCTCAACATCATGGTGATCCTCGGCTTCATGTTGAACTATATGCTACGCGTGAATTTGACGATAGCGATCGTCTCGATGGTGATGTCCAACAATAGTAACGGGCAACATTCGCATTCCAACGAATCGTTGTTGATACCGGATGAGTGCGCTGCCCGGACGGCGATGATGAACGACCTTACCCCGATTGACAACACCAGAACCCCAGCGATCCACGTTGATGTTAATAGAGTCAACGAGACGAACAACGCTACTACGCTACTATCATCATTCCCACAGCGGCACCCGGTTCGTTAAGACTCATGTAAAGTCGAACTTGCACGGTTAACGACCTCGTCGATTGTTGACGAACGAATTCGTACATTTAAACACCTATTCTATCTTTACTCTAATATTCTTCTATCGTCCGAAATCGACGTAAAATTAATCCATGCTAATTTAATCACAATTAACACTATATACAAAGTTTTTTTCCCGAATGTTCAAAAAATGATTTTACTTTAATCAGGAGGAACGAGCTCAGACGAAATATCCGTGGAACGAGTACGAGATGAATATGATTCTCGGCAGTTTCTTCTGGGGCTACATATGTACAGAGATACCGGGTGGTCGACTCGCAGAAATAATTGGCACGAGAAAAGTCTTCGGCTACAGTATGCTAGTATCGAGTTTCATTACTCTGCTGACGCCGTTAGCAGCTACATTCGGCTACGCAGTCGTCGCCGCGTTGAGAATTGTACTGGGATTTATGCTGGTACGTCCCTCTTTCTACGAATTATTATAATCATGATAAATGTATATACGCGTCCGTTTCGTGGGAATGATCTAACGGGCGACTCGTATGGAATTCTGAATCTATCGAGCGTCTCTATCTCTCTCTTTATACACATATTTAAGATTCTATATTTAAGATTCTATATCTAAATGAAATTAAATTTCACATTAGCGCGCACGATTATGCATGATTGCAAACGATTGCACAATCACACTCTAACAATTCCTTAAAATTCATTAATTAATATTTCGCAAATCAGGGTGCCACCTGGCCTGCCATTCAGCCAATGACTGCTCGATGGATTCCACCAACGGAACGTAGCAAGTTCGTCTCTAACATGATGGGTAAATGGATCATGATCTAATTTGCCTCGCGCGATCGCGTACTCAGTTCCGCATGAGATCGTCGTCATGTATAATCGTCTTTTTCCACCTTGCGAAAAACTTGAAAAACTCGAAACGTACACAAGAAAATGGCAGACGCTTGATGATCGCGGATGTGCGGCTGCTTAAACCGTCGCGTCATAAATTGCATCGTTATTTACAGCCTCGGCACTCGGCGCCGCGATAACTATGCCGATGTGCGGTTTCCTCATCGATTCACTCGGCTGGGAGTCAGTCTTCTATGTGACCGGCGTGATCGGGATTATATGGAGCGTAGCGTGGTTCTTGCTGGTATTCGATTCACCGTCGCAGCATCCGCGAATCAGCATGGAGGAGCGACGTTATATCGAGAATTCAATCGGGACGACCACCACCAACAAGGTTGTAATAGCATCTGTATATATAAAATGCGTCTATTTTAATTCTAGAATCTATTTTGTTATTCTAGTGATTCCATATCTATTATTTTAATTTATTTTAATTTACTTGAAAAATAAATAAGCTGATAAAAATGCAAACATTAAGATACATTTAAATTGACATTTCTTTAGTTTTTAAATAATGCAGTTTATTTATAATTATCTGTCTCTTGAGGATGGAAAAATTGCTTTATTATTTTTTTTCTTCGAAAATTTGATTAATGTGCTTAATCCAATATTTTAACTATAGCATCTGCCAGTGCCATGGCGCTCAATTGTCACTTCGGGACCTGTTTGGGCTATTGTGATAACGCACGCATGCAGCGTTTTCGGATACTTCACCATCGTAAATCAACTCCCGACTTATATAAAATATATCTTACATTTCAATATTAAGGAGGTACGTTTTATCAATCTTAATAATAAATAAAATTTACATTTATGTCGCTGTTACTTTTTTTCTATTTTTCTATTTTTATTCGAAAATGGAAATAATATTTGTAGAACGGCCTCTTATCTTCATTACCCTACCTTGGCAAATACATTTTCGCGTTATCAATGTCCGCTCTGGCCGATTACCTGCTTCGTATCAACAAACTATCCGTAACTGCAATACGCAAAATTTTCACGACATTCGGTGAGTAAAACTTTACAAATGGTTTCGCATTTTTTTTATTTTTCTTCATCTAAGTACAATAAAATAATTTTTTTTCAGCTAATCAAATAATTCATCATTAAATTTTTCTAATATGTAAATTAATCAAATATTAAATAATCAATTAAATTATCCTTTGTAATTCGGTCGAAAGATTTTATTTTCAATTAATGAAACAATTCTAATTTTTAGCCACTCTAATTCCTAGCATCCTCATGGTGATTCAAGTATATCACGGTTGCAATCGCGCGGCATCAGTTGCCATATTCACCGTCGGTTTGACAATAAACGGTGCTGTAACGGCTGGTTATCTGGGAAATGGTCTCGACATCGCGCCCAATTTTTCCGGGACCATATTCGGCATCGCCAACACCTTTAGCTCGATGGGCGGTTTTATTAGCAGCTTCCTGGTAGGCACCGTCACGTACAAAAATCAGACCTACGCACAATGGACAATTATCTTTTGGACCTTGGCGGTCACTTATTTTATCGGTGGTATGACATTCGCCATCTTCGGCACCGGCGAATTGCAAAAATGGAACAGTCCGTCCAAAAGCGAGACGAAGAGGAATAGCGTGGAGGATGGTGAATCTGTCCGTCTCAAGTAAAATAGTTACTCGTCAAGAGTAAAGTAATCTCGTAACGTCTTAAACGATAATGTTTCTTGTCAGACTGCTAAGACGTTACGGAGATGGAAGTGTCGATTTATCGCAATGCGATATATTCCAAATAGGACAGTATTCGTTTTTATTAGCTTGCAATTTTAAATTGATCGATTGACTCTGCAGCTTGGCAGTAGCTTATAAAACATTGTTTTTCATTGTTTATTTACTTTTCGCTTAAAGTTCAAATACAATGTCTTTTAAGTTGCAGGAAAAATCAATATAATTATTATTGTCTATCTTATAATAATTATATATTATATATATATTTTACCTAGTAGTAGAATGCAAACGAATGATTGAAAAATTCTAGGAATCTTGATGTTTTAAAATCAATTTTATTATAATTGTATCGAGTTTTCTTTTTTAATCTTCACTTTCTAGATATGCCAAGTTCAGAGTTGATTGATATAGAATGTACGAGTGTATTTTTACATTCACTTTTTACTGATATGATACTAATATGTATACAATAAGCTTACATAGTTACCAAAAGAAAGAAAGATAAACAGCTGAAGCGATTAGTTGAAATTAAAAAACACTTATTTATAATATAAGTTGTTAATATGCAAATTTATAAATAAAATTTTTAGCAAGGACTACACATTGACTCCAAAAAATTATAAAAAATATTGTAGAGAAAGTTATCGTAACTATGTATATAAAAAAATTAATGATATCGCAAAGAATATATTTATACATATGATAAAAAATAAAAATATATTTATATATAAAAATAATTCTTCAAATAATGAAGGATAAAAACATTTGAAGAATTATCAATTTTTCAAATTCAATCAATTCAGATGAAAAAATGTGTAATTTTTTACAACATGTATTTATTAGCATTTATTTTTTATCATTGATAAAAATCTCAACGACATTAATAATAAAGACAAAATTCCAAATAATTTCGCTAACGATACCATTGTAATGCGTGATTGACTAACAAGCTAAAACTTTAGAACACACGTTGGTAAAGAGGATCAACTTTTTACAGTATTGCCATCTATAAAGAGGCATCTTATTGACTGTTAATGTTAGCAGATGCAAAGTTAAGTAAGTTGTAACCATATAAGTTGTAATGACTATTACTTCTTCGTATATTATCTGACCAGGAGATGGAGTTGAACAGTGCATAATCACGCAATCGAATTAATAACTTTTAAATTCTAATACTGTATACAAAAAAACAAACAAAAGAAGAATCCCTTCCTTAAATATAGATTAAATTAACAAATTAAAATTTCTAGATAAAAAATTCCTAGAGTTCAATACTTCTTTTCAATTTCAGTCAAACTAAGCTTAAATTAAAATTCCGCTTAAACAGAATCTAAATTAGACTAAGTTCTAAAAGATAACACATTCTTCTCAATTTAGATAAATCCAATTAATCCTTAAAATAAATAAAACAGACTCGCTTTCGCGGCTTGTGTTTTTCCCTTCGGCTTTTAGCTTGGTTCAGGGTGCCCGAATATCTCGGCACATTATTGACCGGCTCAGCGTCCTCGCGTGTCCGACGCTGTCGGATGCCGACGATTCCAAGAGGGCATCTCAGCGCCGCGCAGCATCGCGACGATGACAGGAGCCAAAGCGCCACGGCGTAGCCGCGTCGCGATGGTGCTCGCCGTGACGCGTGGCGCTGCGGCGCTGCGCCGATATGCCAGGGGAACAGCTGTTCGAGGAGGTTTCATTCACGTGCCTCTCTCTCCATCGCGCACCCACCTCATTCGCTCACTCTCCGTCGCACCATCGCTTCTCGATCGCGTTTCTCCGCGTCCTCGCGCTGGGACGCGCAGGAACCCGAGAGGAATCGCCCTCGTTCCTCACCCTATGCATCGCTATCGTATTCCCGCAATTTGATTCGACACGAGCGCTCCGCGTGAAAGCGAGCTTAATTTGAAAACGAGGCGATCGTTAGTCGCCCTTATTCCCTAACAGAATCATAGAAATTTCGCGAGACGAAGAGATAAATGTATCAGGTGATAAATTACTTCCGTCCGTTCATCCATCAATTTGTCCAATCTCGAGGACTAACGAAGCTTCACGGAGGCGCGCCTCGTCGCTCTCCGATGCCGAGGAGCGACTCGAAGAAGGAGGAACTCCCGTTCATCCGAGACGGAGATAAGTCGATGGCGAGGAGGCCGAGGGGCCAGTCTCACCGGAAGAATTCCGGCGCGCGTGGCCGTTAGGTACGTGGCGGAAAATCTCCGGAATTCGCGGACTGCAGCACCGAATTCAGTTGCTATGTCGCGCGCAGCGGGCGAACATGAGCGGCGCGGAGCGCGTGTCGCGCGCGCCAGTTTGCCGCGCGGGACCGCCCGCTCGCACGAGCTGTCACTGGGATAACACGTGCTCGAGAAGTTTAATCCGAGCGCGTAGGAGGAACATGCGCGCGCAATGGGAGACGGCAGGGGATTGACACGAGCGCGGGAGAGAGGCGCCGGGACGATCGCCACCTCCGTCCTCGTCATGCCAGCCTGCTCGGTTGTGATTAACTAAGGTTTAATCAGCTTTACAAGCTAAACTTCCTTTGTCGACATGCACGCGCATGATAATCCGCTGGACTATCTCGCCGGGTCCGGGCCGGCCAATACGGCCGAAAAACATCTTCGGCGTCGCCGAATCGAACTAATCTGAGTATGATAGTGTGTACCGCGCAACAGGAAGGCCGTTGTTCCTGTCGCCGACTATGGGAACTCGCGCCGTCGTCATCGTCCGGGAGACCTCGGTTTCTCTCTCCCGTAGAGCACTCGACCCGGCTTCATACGGTCCTAATACCGAAATTCGCGGAATGTTAGATGCAGAGTCTTTCGTGACGCGAGACGAGAGCACGTCCAGAGTGGCCGAGCGGCAACATGCCGACCGTGGGAATTGATAAAGTGTAAACATTGATTGTAAACGTTACTACGCGAAAGCTAGGAATCAGTAATTCATGTATCATTAGATTATATAACGATCTTCTCATCTATGTCACAATACGATTTTTTTCAATTATGATAAATTTGGCAAATGAATATCTATACGTCAAATTTGACAGTTACATGCCACTTTACCATGTGCTTTTAATTACTGAAAAAACATAAAATTCATGTACCTTGATATTATATATATGATGATGATCTTCTCATGTACCTTGATATTATATATATAATGATCTTCTCTTAAATAGATCTGTACGTCAAATTTGACAGTTACGTGCCACTTTACCATGTGCTTTCAATTACTAAAAAAAATATAAGAGACTGCTAGCTATTCGCTGACGTATTTAATTATTAACGTGTCGATTTCGAAATATAATGCAGGAATAATTTATCATTTGGAGAATAAAAGCTTCATCTCGCGGAAATGTGGCGAGTGACGTGACAACCGCACAGAATACCTTCTGTCGACATTGATTCAACGATGTGACGAGATCGAGAACTTCTTGCGCCGCATCGCTTCCTGGTTCATCCTTTCGCGACTTCGTCGCTCAATATTCGCCGAGGCGCAAACGCGACAGAGGCGCATCTCAATAGGGATTATTCGCATTCCTTAATTTCTTCTTTAGTTTTAATTACGAGGAACGTTTTCTAAAGTTTTCAGTCGAGAAACAATGCTTCTCGAGATAAAATGTGAAATGATATCATTATACATTTCCTAAACGAATACATTTCACATACACACATCGTTAAAATCAATTTTATAGAAAAATAATAAATTGACAAACTTGACAATCTACGATTATAAATTTAAAACGCTTAAAGACAATTTTTTTCTTAACTTGTCATATTGTTATATCTGTCAAATTATTTAAAATAATATGTATAAAAAATTGGCAAGATTTTTAATGGAAGAGGTTCTCAACCTTTTATATAATTTTTCCTTACTGTTAACTTTTACAGTAACAGAAATATTGAAATGCAACAGACACAATTAAATAAACTACCCATCTAATGCGAATTGAGCTTCGTGCTGATGAGTGTGAAGCCACAAAGAATGTCAGAGCTGTGTCGAGGCAATTGGCTACCGTGTACATCGTTGAAGGAATAGCTAATTCGTCGAGGCGAGGGAGAAAAACAAGTGGGAGTCTTTTCGGGCTGAGGAAAGAGAAGGAGAAAGAAAGGCAGAGGTTAACTCTGGGTGGGTTATTAAGGGTTCGCGTAATAACGTGTTTGCGAGAGCGCGCGGTTGCACGCACCGTTCACGAGGAACATGGCATCGCCCCCGGGTGCTCTCCGGACCCAGCATCTTCCAGGGTCTACGAAAACGTCGGTGTGGCCGCCCCCGACTCATGGGAACGTCCTCGGGGCAACACGGTCGACGGAATCGCGCGCAACCATAGAATCGCCATCGGCATCGCCGGAATTTTTCTTAGGAAATTATTAAGATCTAAGGCTCTTTCGCGCGCATTAAATTTTCGTAGATCTCCATAGTTTCTTTGAAGTCGTTATAAGTTGATGACAGTGGTAATCATAGAAATGGCAACTGTCATTAAAAAATTGCGATCGTTTATAAAAGTTTGCTATAAGATTAAAAAATTTCAAGATGATGCAGATGATTGATATTGACATATCACCTACTCTAGCTCTTATCGTGAAAGATAAATTATAAAATTTACATTCGTACATCATAAAAAAAATTTTATGTTAATATATTAACAAAATATTATCTTCTTTAATCAAAAAATTTCTCTGTCCGTTGAAACTCTCGCAACCTCCACGCGATTTCTCGATTCCTTCGTTCCGCGTGAGACTAGTACTTCTCTCCTTCCTGTCATCGCGCTTCTCTACGAATTCCAATTTCGAGACACCGTCGCGGACACCCGGCATCAGCAACGGAAGGTCCGAGACCGGTAGGCAATAATTTCGCAGGAATGTCGGCGGCGATTCCGCGGCTTTCGTGTCTGCGGAAAAGAATCTCGGGCCTCTCGATAACGGATCTCACGCCGGATTCCGCGCCGTGAACAAATTGGACTCTTCCGAACTCCGTTATTCTCGAATAGAACAGTCGCTGGGAAGATTAACCCCTCATTAACGCGATTTGCACTCGTGCTGGAATGCGCATAAAATATACAAGACACGAACATGAAAGATGAATTCATATAATTAAACATCTAATCTTATATCAAACTCGTAATAATATTTCATACTTTTATGACATTACAATATTTTATTTCCATTTTCCTGCTCGCTCTTTTTCCTCATATATTATCAAAAATTACCTAATCTTATCCAGAGATATTCAAAATTT